CTCATAAAGTGTTCTACCTTAATATGAAATTTCAAAACGGAGCGCGAAAATTCATTTTTTCCAAAATGTTCAGTCAATTTCCAAACTTGGTTGCAGGTTTGTTTCACGAGTATCTCATATGTTGGACATATAGTATCTTCGATACTATAAGTTGGATTGTAGTCTGGTTTTCTCCATTCAATATGTCGTAAAGTGTTCTACCTATAACGTAATTTCGAAAAGAAGCGCCAAAGTTCATTTTTTCCCAAACTTTTAAGACAAATTTATTAATTAAAATTAATTAATTAAAATTAATTAATTAAAATTAATTAAAAAAAAAGACATTTCCCAACGTAGGCACAGTTTTTTGTCTATCTTTGAAACTACATATATTATTAAATTATAACAGCACAACTTTCTGTTATGATACATTGGTGACACATTACTAGATGGTATGTGAAGAACACTCTGGAGATCAAGCAGAACACTCATAAAATTTTTCTCAATTGCCTTTTGTTTGCAAAATGCCTTGCTCTCATTTCCTTCCTTTCTATATTGTGATGTTTATATGCGTGTTGCAACATTCTTTTATAATCTTCGTGGGTTTCTTTATATTTTACGCAAAGAACACTGATCTTTTTGGGTTGAAAAAAGGAGTAATTACATGATCTGCAAAAAATTCTTTTGTAAGTGGTTGAGCTTTGTGGTTTTTCACCCCTTATGCAACAAATTTCTTCATGCAAAGAATACATTTTACTTATAGACAGCTTACTTTCCAGGAACTTCCTCTGAGGTGTCTCATGATTGTAGATTGTTGACTGTAGATTGTAGATCTGTAAACGGGAAATTCTAAATATGACCTTTTATTTTTTTTACATCACTTTGTGAGAATTTATGAAGGGGTAGGTGACTTTCCATTATGTCTTGAGAATAAGAACCTGATGACTTTCTTTTCTCCCAATGCTAGATCAGAAGACCATTGTGTTTTTAGAAAAAAACTGAATAGATAACTCTGTTTGGCTTAAAAGTTAATAATATAAATCACTATGTCATTTTATTTGCTCACACACTTTGACAGAAAATGTTCTTCAAATTCTAATCTTTTAGCCCATTTAGTGATTTCTACTGGGCTGTACAAGTGTCTATAGGACTTGGTGAAATGGGGACATGTCTATTGCTTAACAATAGTAATTCATTGAAGTGAGTTCTATCAGATTGTTGAACATTAAAGAAGATGGTGCTATGGTTTTTTTTTATGCCATTTGAAATTTTTGGACTTTGTGATTTTTGGTTGAATACTGATGATATATTCAATACAATGGATCTGTTTCCCAAAGAAGCAATTTTGATATTAAATCTTATTCAGCTCATCACTCACATACACATGTAACACAAGAGAACAAGAAATTTGCTGTATGCTGTGCTGTGCATCAATTGTAATATATTGCGTAACATGTTAATTTTAACTATGTATCTTTGTTTCCTTTGAACTATTATTTTATGTGTTTTACAAAGTCCGTAACAATTATTTTAAAATATGTCTTAATTTTTTTGTACCTCTAAACCCTCCCTATCCTTACAATTAATTTATTTTTCTTTTCTCTACAACTAGTTGATAAAGACTGCTGTTCAATGATACCTCTTGGAGCAGTTAAAATGTTGAAAGGAACAGTGATTTATGTCACAGAAAGAGTAAATCAAGATATTTTGTTTTGTATTTGTCTTTATGGATAGTATTTTAGGACATTATTCAATGTTTTATTGAATTATAATTTATTACACATAGTATAGATATTAATGAAAATTAATGCAACTCTTTTAGCTGTCTGTGTTTAGCATTGATACTGAAACTAGGGACCTTATAAATAATTTTACAGCTTTTTGATACTAAATATATAGTATTTTGCAGGCAACATTCTAGAGTTTATAGAGATGAGGAACATCTTCTAAGAAAAATGTTCAGATGTGAGTTAACTCCTTTAATCACTTGAAACATGTTACGAATCTGGAAAAAAATTCTCACTTGTGAAGTAGATGTAACACAAATATGGAATGGTCTGTTTGTAAATATAATTTCATAGAACCCCAAGCCTTGAACAGGTGATTCCAAAAGTTTGTTGTAACACCCCAAATTGTTAACTGTTCCACAATTTCCACTTAACCACTCCACTATTTTTTTCTTTGACTTTGGAAATATATTTCCAAATAGACAAGTGTACACAATTTTTGTAATACCACTGACATACTGGAGCTGGTTTAAACGATTCTACTATTTATAGTGAATTCCTTTGGCAGCTCACTGTTTCCACACAATACATTATAGATCGAATGTATAGTTTTATAGCCTTGGTTTTGAGTGAACACCTTCAAATTTCTCTAATATTTGAGAAGCATCTTTACCAGGCTTCTAATTGTCTTTTTGCACTTAAAAGCAGCGACAAATTATGTGCGTAAAATTAAGATACAATGCCTTTAAGAGCTGGCCTACTGAAATGATGTAAGCAGCTGCATTTGTTAACATTAAAAAGTACCTGTTAATCTGGAAACCCATTTGGAAATAATAATTACAGGCCTGAATTTACAAACTCTGCAATACTTTGGAAATAAGTTGTCTCAATTTCTTTTGATCACAAAAAATAAGACTTGACTGACACATTTTCACAACAATTAAATGAACTATATGATGTTCAAGTGAATCTAATGTTTCATCTACAGAAAGCCAAATATACTTGTCACCAATATCATCTCTAATTTCCTTCAGTGTTGCCTGATTCACTAGTTCAAGATAGTTTTCCCACAATGTCAACTCTGAAGGTATGTTTTGCTTACACTACTCTTCCAAAACCCATTGTTGAGTTTTGAACAACATTCCAAGAAATTCCAGAACTGCATGACATATGGTAAAATAGATTTTGTTTTCCAAAGTGAGATGTTCAGTTAAATGTGTCAGGATGTGTGTTTGCTGGCTCTTACTATTTCCTTCATGAAGGGCAGTTTTTTCATACTGAGAGAGAAGGTATTTCTACCAAGATCAAAATTAAGTGTTCATTTCAGTACTGCAAATGACAGATTTTAGTTAAACTAAACTGGAATGAAATTTCTTTTATTAAATTTGTAATTCCAGAATTTATTTTTATCATTCTGAATTTTGTTCAAACACTGATTTTTTAGTAAAAATTAAAAGAAATAAAAATGATTCTTGAGGGCATACATGAACGATAAAAATGAGTTTTCCCTAACACTTTTGTGAAAGACATTTTAATTTTGTTTATCTATTTTTACTCACAGTTTTATTGCCGATACGGCAATATTACAACCCCATCTGCTGTAAATGAGGGGAATTCTTCCAACCATTGACAGAATAAAGATTGATTTAAACTTTGTCATCTTCACACAATTGAGCTCAGTTACTCCCCTTAGAGGCACTGTGAGATACTTTGTGTGGTACTGGGTCACCACTCAGACAACTGCGAGCAGAATGAAGATGCACCTCTTGTCTGGCAGAGGTATCGGTTATCGATCTACATTGTGCATTACCAGGAAGAACGTTTGGCATGAAAATATATAAATATTGGAAGTTGGGATCATCACCTTACCCTCTGTGACCCGAGTGCTTTGATTACGCCTAAAATCTATGCTAAGTGCTGACCCAAGTGCCCACTGCTCCACCAAGTGCTCATAGCCTACCGCTTCTTGTTTTCATTTTTCTTTTTGCCCTTCCTTTCTTTCTTCCCTTTTTTTCTTTCTTTTAATGTAATTTGAAGCCACAATGCAAGCTTTTCAACTTAAAAAATTCAATGTGACATTCAAATCTAAATGACAGCTTCAGACTAGACAATAAATGGAAATTTATTCCAAGTAGCTAATTAGTGTGATTAGTAGAACTAAAAATGATCAAAGCGTGTATTTGAAACCAAGGCTAGACAGAAATATAAGTAAATTTAGAAAAAAGCATTTAAAAAGAAAAATGTCTAAAAAGGCATTTACATTATAAAGACGAAAAAGAGGTAGAGAAGGCAAAATACAAATTTGTCAGAATGTTTCATTTTCCATAATTCATGTATGCATATTAATTTATTATTAATTATTAGTGCTTCAGATTTTATTTCGTCACCTATATCATGTAAGTTTTCATAGAATTCTCTTATTTCTTTTATCTCGACTCCAAATAGGGTGAATTTTCCTATTACATTCATGTTTTGTAGGTCAATTTCTAATTTTACTATTGTTTTAATGCGTCAGATATTTATTCATAATCCATAATATTATTCTTTAGTTTTTTGTCTATCATTACAGCCACTCATGATTATGCCCTTTTCTCTTCTTCAATGCCTGTGTAAATCATTACATTATGGTCCATTTCCAAACTGCCTACTCTTTTCTTCTTCGTTTCTGTTATGATGGCTATTTTAATTTTATGTTGTTTCAGTTTCCACTCCTAGTTGCATAAAATACACTTAAATTCCTATTTTGTTCTCACTTAAGAATTTAGTTTTTAAAGATTTTAATCTTAAAAGAAGAGCAATTTAGTTTGCTTGAATTTCGTACAAAATGTCATTACTCCCGTATTTGTCAATGTGAAATACTCAAATTATACTCCTCCCCAGTTTTTTAGTAAAATAAATCAAATCATATTAAAATTAATCTAGATCTCTTACTTTTTTAGGAACTGGTGTGGTTTCCATTTTATATTAGGTTCAATATTTCACAGGTGATGGTACAGTATTAAAAAACATTCCCACATAGTATGAATATTTTTTAATAAAAAAATAATCTCATAACATTCATGTTGCCTCAGATGTAAAAGCATTTTATAAATTGAGAAATTACAGTAAAAATTAAAATGACAATAATTTAGGTATAACATCAACAATTATCAATACATGAGAAGATGAATGATCAATTTTTTAAGCACATATCTCCTTATTTTTCAACTGTATTATGAATCATGAAGATGACAATTCACTGCTATGCTAACCAGATGTCATACAAGGTTTGTGTTGAGATATTGTATAAATAACATTCCAATTCTTGAGAGATCTGTTCCAGGATGCAACTTTGTATATGAGAGAAACTGTCTTCGTATCCTTGCCAACTGAGCAGAAGTCACCCTAGTACCAGCATTCAAAACTACACTCTGCGAATATCCAGGAACTTTAACTTCTCCTTCAATATTCATTTTCTGAGCTGCTAGAATTGCCTGAGAAAATTATAAACACCGTATTGTAATACAAGAATAATAAATACTTAAATCTTACTAAAATGCTGCCTTTTCTGAGAAATGTACCTTACCGAAACTATTTCTTGTGTAATCCTATCCATTTCATAAAGATAATTAGCTGATGCAAGAGGAGGCTGAAAAAATAATTCAATACACATCAATAACAGTTAAAATATTTAAACTGAATCTCCCTTCATGTCCACTACATTTGTAAATAAATTAAAATAATTTCCATCAGAAGCCTGCATGCACAATCCTTGAATGTTAAAAGAAAATACATTAAAACTTGTTCAAATTGTACAGATTTTTCTTATTTAAAATTGTTGCAGGCTATACACGTTTCCTAAATAATCAATGGATTTCATGAATTTATTTTAACGTTATTATATTTCTCTATTGAACACCGGAGCAAAAAAATGTTTACTTTCGCAGAAAAGATGTTCAAGGGAATGTAATTTAATGACATTACAAGTAAAAAAATAAAAAGGTATGAATTCACTTGAAACTTACACACTGTGTTGACTGGTTGGGAGGTGGTGGTTTGCGTTCAAACAAGGCACTAGACACATCTGACAGAGGCAAGTCATCACCAGGATTCACAACAAACAACGGAGTATCCCAACGATTTCTACTATCAGGTTCTTCAAACCTCAGATATAAAGCATTAAATACCTCTTCTGAATACTGTTCATTTTTTTCCCGTTTTAAATTCCATTTCCATGCTGTCTCCTGGGGTGCACAACAGAGTATTGTGCACTGTGTAGTCTTACTGGCCTTTGTCATGCAATACAGTTCATATCGATAACCTGAAATACAGTTCTGAGATGTAGCAGTATTATTACAATATTTCAGAGCGAACAGAAATAAGATTGTTTACAGTTATTGCAGAGAGATGGATACTAATGAATGCAATTCTACAGCGAATCAAACCTTTAATATAATTCTGAGAATCCACGACAACAACATCTTCTTTCCCTACTAGTCTTGTAGCTTCAGATTTGATTTGGCCACGAATTGATTTTTCCTTTGAAGAATCTGATGGTAAAAGGAATAATTGTATACTTAAGATAAAGAATATTAAAATAAACTTTAATACAAGGTGAGTATTACAAGGAAAATACCGTTGAAGACTTCATTTTTCGTTATATTAGATGCTGAAATTAAATCATTTTCACACACAATATGAACATTTTTCTTCAGAACGCCTTCAAAATATTCTTTTAATTCCAGCGAACGAATTGTTTTTCCAGCCGATGGTGGGCCACACATTATAATCAAGGGCATTTTGGTTTAAATGACAATCACTACTACATTAATATAATTAATCAAAACCATGTAATGAAATAATGTGAGGTTAGTAAATTTCACCACGAACACCCAATAGCGCATGGACCATGGGTGAGGATGAGAGTGTGAGTGTAATATCGATTATAGAAGACTATCGACTGACAAATCGAGATATCTCCTGTCTGGGGATGGTTGGGTAATCTGCAACACGAGGTAGGTAGGGCGGGCTTTAAACATCTTGGAGTGTGAGTTTTAAATTAATGATACCTTGTAATTGTACTAATATTTTGTAATAGGTAGCATTCGAACATTACTTTTGAATGTGAAGAATAGGTGTATGGAATAATTTGGAGTTGTCATTATCATTTTAATCCGATATCGTAATAATGTGATTTCTAACCTGAATGTACCAACAAACATTGCACATTGCTCATTACATCATCTTTTCATTCTGTAAATGTTCATTTTTATCTCGTTAGTGTTAATTACACAAATAGTATGTTTCTAACGTTGCCGAGTACTTATATATTTTGATTTGGACTTTTTAAAATTTGTATTTACGAGTTGTTGCCGAAAGCGGACATAGTCATGAAAGTTTTGATATGGCTGAAAATTGATTTGTTGTTACGTTCATGTATACACGCAATTATTAATATGTATCCGTGAAATATTGACGAGAATTATCTGAAAAATACTTTAAAAATCAAAGTTCAAGTATTGCTGCAATTAAGTAATTTTTTCAGATGGGACAACAAACATTATGAAATACTGAAGATAATTCTTTCTTCTGTTTGAAATGTTCCCTTTAGCTGAATTACTTAAATCCATTAATAAAAATATTTTTAAAACTCCATCAAATTGGATCACGGTTACCCTTTACTTGCATGTCAGTGTACTTGACTGTATGTGATTTCAGTGTTGTACTTGACAATGTGATCTTAGTATTTGAGAAGTCATAAATAGTAAACAAACTAAATTTTTAAATTATATTTCAGTATTTTGTATTTATATACTAGTAGCTTTAGAAACAAAATATTTGGGTTTTTGAAATATTTTCTATTTAATGATTAGTGGAACTATTACAATATTCCTGTCATTGTTATTATTACTTTTCTCATAATTTGAAGCATGTTACGTGTGGTTTTAACAATAAATGTTTTATAGGCTGATGACTGAAAGAAAGAATTTCAGGTGATGTTTTTGTGCTTTATTATTTTAACTTGTATTAACATCTTTGTTTAACATTTCAATTAAAGACATGTCAGAAGATTGGGCTATGGTTATCACAACTCGACCATTGCAACATTTCAGCTAACGGATTAGCTGTGTGGGTTATGGCCAGTGAATGTTTAACACTACTGAGCTGTTGTTCACTTTTTATTTGGCTTTTAGTGCATTTGGCTAAAAGTGATATGTAAAAATAAAATTATAAAATTTCTGATGGATGATTACTGAAAAAATAACCAATTAGTTCATTTAAAGTATATATCACTTTAACTTATCAGATACTTTCTGTTTTATTTAAAAATAAAAATTAATTTAAACTCAAAACATAAAGCTTTATTCTAAATATATATGTAAAGTTCTGCTTGGGACTTTCTTTGTGCTTATGGTCTTTTGGTTACCTTCACCCAGTGTGAAAATGTAAATTTGTGTGGAATATTATCTTTGAATTTGAAGTTGTAGTAATTTGAGCATCATACTTTTCTGCAGTACTAGACACACACTTTTGCTTGATACTCAGCTCAGATGGCTCATTGACAATCCTATGTTAAATTTTATGGTCTGAAAATGCCATGCTGAGCCAGACTGGCTCTGAGTATGAAGAAGTAGTGTAAGACCTGTAGTGTGTAGTTATATTAGACTTTCAACTTGTTTTGTTTTTGTATACTTTGTTTACATTGTTTTGTGTGTTGCAGGTTTGGTCATAATCTTCTGGAGAATCAATCAGGTGAGCTGATAGCAGTCAAGGCAATTTCTACAGGATGTGGGGGAGCCGTTCCACACAATTCCGGAGTCTATGGGCTCAGAGGTTTGCCTCTGGGCACAAAGCCCTGTTCAGTCGATCTACCTATTCAACTGCTCCAACTACAGGGAAGACAGATTTTCGTGAAGGGACTGAAATACAAGGCTTTGTTGTACAACAACAAGAAGAAGTACCTGAATTTAATATTAAAGCAATTCGTTTAACTCACAGTTTAACTGGTGCTGATTACCTACATCTTTTGCGCAATGATAACAATAATGCTTTCTGTGTGGGCTTTCGTACTACACCTTTTGATTCAACTGGGCTTCCTCATATCTTGGAACACACAACCCTGTGTGGTAGTGTTGGATACCCTTGTAGAGATCCCTTTTTTAAGATGCTGAATCGCTCAATGGCAACTTTTATGAATGCATTAACTGGCCCAGATTATACTATGTATCCATTTGCTACTCAAAACGCACGTGACTATAAGAATCTTATGTCGGTATACCTTGATGCTGTTTTCAAACCACGTTTACGGGAAATTGATTTTCGCCAAGAGGGTTGGCGTTTGGAACATGAAGAGGTCACCAATGCAAAATCTCCCATTATTTTTAAAGGTGTTGTTTTTAATGAAATGAAAGGTGTTTTCTCTGACCCGCAATCTGTTTTTGGCCAAGCATTGTTAAACACCATTCTGCCTAGTCACACCTATGGGTATGTTTCAGGAGGAGATCCTAAGAAAATACCTCTTTTGACTTATAAAGATTTGAAAGCATTTCATAAGCGATATTACAATCCCAACAATTCAAGATTTTATTCTTATGGAAATTTTCCTCTGGCTGATCATCTGAAATATATTAATGAGAATTACCTTAGTAATGTTGATGTCAAGGAACTCCCTGATTCAAATAGTTTAAAAGTGCCATTGGAAAAGAGATGGTCATCTCCTCAACAGAAAAATATTTCTTGTAGGTTTGATCCTATGGCAGCGAATCCTAAGAAGCAATCAACCATTGCAATTAGTGTTTTGCTTGATGATATTAGAAATCTGGAGAGTGGATTTGATTGGAATATTTTGTCAGAACTGTTGGTGAGTGGTCCCAATTCATCGTTTTACAAAGCTCTGGTGGAGCCTCAGATCGGTGCAGGGTTTTCACCCTCCACTGGATTTGAATCCCAAACCCGAGATACTTTTTTCTCAGTGGGTCTTCAAGGAGTAGCTCAAGAGGATTTTGGCAGGGTTGTAGAGATATATGATAAAACTGTGGACGATATAATCCAGAAAGGATTTGAACCATCGCTGGTGGATGCTGTTCTGCATGGTATTGAACTGAGTATAAAACATGAAGTATCAAATTTTGGTTTGGGAATGCTGTTTGCTCTTAATCCCTTGTGGTTGCATGGAGGAGATCTTATGAAAGCCTTAAGAGTGAATGATCAACTTATCAATTTCAAGGAGCAAATGCAGAAGAATCCTAGACATCTTCAAGAGATTGTGGAACGCCAACTTAAGGGCAATGCTCACAAATTGATTCTAACAATGAGCCCTGATGAGGGATATGAAGAGCGACTCATGGAACAAGAAAAAGAATTGCTGAATAGTAAACTGTTAGAGCTCTCTAAAGAAGACAAGAAAGAGTTGTTTGCTAAGGGTTTGCAACTAGCAGCAGAGCAAGCGTTGCAACATGATGCTTCTTGTCTGCCTACACTTAGAGTAAATGATCTTAATAAAGATGTTGAAGTAACTTCCCTAAAAGATGTGATGATAAAATCGGTTCCACTTCAGTGTTCTGCTCAGCCAACAAATGGGATTGTATATTTTAGGGGAATTCTTAATGCAAGTCATCTGAATGCTGAACAAAAAAGTTTATTGCCCCTGTTTGCCAATGTTGTTGCCAAGATGGGAACTAAGAAACACTCTTATCGAGAAATGGATCAGAGAATTAATTTAAGTACTGGTGGAATTTCTTTTACTCCACATTTAAGAGAAAATTTAAGTGACCCAAGTACACATGAACAAGGACTACTATTCTCTTCATATGCTTTGGATCGTAATATAGAAGAACTGTTTAACATTCTGTCAGAAATTTTCAACGAGCTGTCATTAGATGATCTGAAGCGATTTGAAACTCTTACCAGAATGTCTGCAGTCCATTTGGCTAATAACATTATAGATCGTGGCCATTTATATGCTATGCTTACTGCAGATTCATTGGTTAGTGGATCTGCATCATTAAAAGAAACATTTGCAGGCATGACAAATGTCGACACTATTCGTCGTATTGCTCAGTTAGAAGATCTTTCAGGAGTCTTAGACCAATTGAAATCGATGGCCAATTTGTTACTCAATAAAAAACATCTTCGGTGTGCAGTAAACTATACAGAATTAAGTGAATCAAATGTTTTGAAATCAACAGAATCATTTCTAAGTACCCTTCCTGGTGAAGCATGTGAATCTTCAGTATTCTGTGCAGTCCCCAAAGTTGAATGCAATCACAATGCTGTACACCATGTCCTACCTATTCCTGTCAATTTTGCTGCTAAAGCTTTGCAGACCGTCTCTTACACCCATAAAGACAATGCACCACTTACTATTCTGGCTAAACTTTTGAGCTCAAAATATCTTCATCCAACAATTCGAGAGAAAGGAGGTGCTTATGGTTCTGGTGCTGTTCTTTCTATGTCGGGTACGTTCTCTTATTATTCCTATCGAGATCCAAATTCTTCTGTTACTTTGGATGTATTTGATGGTTCGTATAAATGGCTAAGTGAAGGAATGTTCTCTGATGGAGACATAGAGGAAGCGAAGTTAGGAGTGTTTCAGAAAGTTGATTCTCCTGTAGCCCCTGGCCGGAAGGGAATGGACCGTTTTCTTAACGGTGTGTCTGACTCCATTCTTCAGACACGTAGGAGGAACTTGATGGCAGTCACTAAAGAGGATGTTCTTACAGTGGCAAAGAAGTACTTGTCTGATGACTGTGGATTAAATTGCGGAAGGGCTCTGTTAGGTCCTATAAATACTGATCTCCAGAAAGCACGTAAAGAAGAATCTTGGTTTGTTAAATCTCATGAAGCTTAAAATGAAACTTCCAAATATTTATTAGTTGTCTTCTTTTTCTATGTTAAATCTTGGGTCCATAAACTATTTGGTTATTTTTCAAATTTAAAAAGTGTACATGTCGAGTGTTTTTCTTTGGTAGAAGAAAAATTGTAATGTCATTATTTACATCAAAATGATATTTTCTTGCTGGGCTAGAAAGTTCAGGTTTTTATTTATGCATTGTACATTAATAGTTTTTTTGATAACTTCCAAATCTTTGGAAGAAAAAGTTCTGTCATGGTTGACAATGGTCAAACTTGTTACTACTTGTTTCTAATTTTAAAAATTAAATATGTCTGTTAAATGTGATAAAGGTGATTGATTAAATTGTAAAAGTAATGAATGTGTTTTGTAGTAATATTCCTGTATTTTGCAGAAGAAATTTGTGACTTTACATTGCATACATTCATGTAAAATATGCAAAATTTATGAAGTTGTGATTTTCAAAACTCTCACAATTATATAAATTGGTTATTATATGTCTTGCTGAGTACATTTAGTTTAATACTCCAATCTTCACATGTACACATTTATCAGTATTTTCCCTCACAAAGTATTCGTTTGATTGATATTGTTGCTGTCAGTGTTCCTCAGGTAATCAAACTCTATTTTAAAGTGTTTGTAAATGTACCCATTGTTGTATGAATGCAAACAAACATTGTTAAATTATATGTGAGAAGCAGTCTATTATAATAAATTTTGTTTTTAAATTTTTGTGAAATGTATGTTTTATTCTCATGATATTTTTTAACAGTAGTGTTGTAGTACATACAAATACTATGAATAATATTTCTCTCACATGTTTTCCACGAAGAAAATGGTCATATTTTACTTATTTACTTACTTTACATATTATAATTAGTTACATGTTTTTACGTAAAACCTCTAGTAAAATTTATTAGCAACATCAAATCCTTCCTTAATTGGACATTTAATTTAACGACTCACAAACTACTAAACATCAATTATATAGTTTTGCTGATAAATTGAAATGCATTATCTGTAAAATGAATTTTTTATAATTGGAGAAATTAAATGAATAATTGTGTTTATTCTTTTTCTACCATTGAAGTATCATATGCCTTATTACTTTTTCTCTAGCTTGGGAGATCAGTATATAAGATTTTCAATGACAATGCAACATGAAATGTAAAAAACATGAGGTTTGATTAGAAATTTGAAGCTCTTCTGTTTAGTAATTATTTCACCACTTTTTAACGAAAGAGTATTATGCTTTTAGTGGCAATGATCACTATCAGATTTTCTGATTGTACTTATGAATTCAATTTGTAATATTTTTTGTAAATTTGAAGATGTGTATCTCTGCTGCAAAGCTTGGTGCAAAATAGGGTGACCATATGCTTGCTGTCATTAGGGACATAGAATTGTTTGGCTGGTTGCTCTATTAACGCAGACGTTGGGGAAATAGATTTTGGTAAGAAACTGTATTAACAAAATGACACCACTTTATATAAAAAAAAAAGTATATATTTCATATACATTGATCAAATAAAATGGCATTTTTATAATAAACATAAAATATAAATTTTTCATAAAAACTACTTTTGCCAGCTCAAAGTTCGTCAGCTGCCAGCCTCAATTCAAAATTGCCAGTAAAGCCATCTCAATACCGTGGGTGGCAGCACTAACGACTCAATTTTTATATGACACTTCATAAGTGTTTCTAAAGTAAATGCTTACTTAGAAAACAATAATGCACAATTACAAACACATTTACATCTTATATGTTGTTATCAATGAGAAATGAAGTAAAGATTACAAAATAATATCTGCCTTTGTCTTGTTTGATGTGAACATTGGCTCTTGTATCTTATCACACTTACAACTTTGCAAATATTAATTTAAAATTCTTCGATGTATTTTATATCTTAAGGATGAAGGTGTTTTGATGAGTGTGCCTTAGGGTTTTCCTCTTGCTAATTACTTTGGTTGTGTTTGATTAACCGGAATGTACTCAAAATCACATTTAAAAAAAAGTACCAGGAACACTTGGAATTCTTTGGAAAAAAAGTGTATCTTTATTTTGGACCCTATTTATTATTATTCTGAGTGAAGGAAATTAAAATGGTACAATACATGTAATGTTTTGGAAAAGTATGCCAATGTTCATGCCAAATCGGTTTGACAAAATTTTTCATGTTGTAGTACTTGTCTCTTTAACGAGATAGATGAAGACAGATTTCAATTCATTCTGAACTGGAATGTCTTTGAAAACCGCTAACAGGTTGCATTCAAAAAGGATTTTTTTTATTGCATAATTTATGAGATGGTTACATAAACAAAATATGCCACAGGAGACAAAAGTATTGAAAATTGTTTTTAAAATGAGCAATGTTTTTGCTCCAATTTACAAACTATGTATGAAGATTATTTGGTAAAATGATTTCAAATCCGGGAACACAAATGGAAGAGTGAAATGCCAAAATTCAGGAACGGTTCCTGGAAAATAGAGATGAATGGTCACTCTTCTAAAATTTTCTTTCTGAAATTGATGTAGTTGTTACTGTTTGGTGGAATATTCAGTGATTTGTGAGTGACAATACATTCTTGGAGGACCCAATTCATTTCAGTAATGTTAATAAACCAGTATTTATGTGATGGAAAGTAACATAAATAATTTTATAGTGAAGTTTTTTCAGAGTACATAACGATAAGCTGGTTTCTCTTTATTTGTTTATTAAGTGAAGGTTATAAACATACATTTAAGTGATGCAAGTATTTCAGTTTGTTGTAGTAAAATGCATTTTTTTAAATGTTGGGTTCCATTCGTGACGGTTAATGTTGAATATTTAAGATATGGCTGTATTGAAATAAGCTGAGGAAAGAAAATTTAAGTGAAATGAGCACTTACAATGTGAGAATAAGAAAAATATCAGACATTTTAATTATAAATTGTATATGAAAAATGTCACCCAAGTACACTAAATCCAATAGAGCTTTTAGCAAATGTGTGGGAAAAATGGAATTTTTACTGTTATTTTGTAAATTGTGAAATTGATTCCTTTTGTAGCTTTATGGTAGAGTTGCGGGGAAAGAAAATATATGTCAAGAACTCAGGATTAATAGAACAGCAGTTTGTGTGGTATAATAGTACACACTCTTCTTTAAACAATAAAAATGGGAAAAATGAATTTAAAAGTGAGATTTGGCTGGAACTTGTTGATTATTTCTAAAACTATGAGTGAAATTGATATGTTTATTGAGTAATTCATTGTATTATTGGAACTGTCAAGTGAAATTAAATTTATTCAGTAAGATACATCTTGTAACAGGAATATGAAAGACTTTTTGAGTTTAATAACAAAACAATTACATTACAACATTTACATTATTTTTTCTTCTTAGGAATATAATTCTTGATATGAAACTTGAAAGATGAAAAATGTGCTCTTCTTTTACCCTTCCTTATGGTTGAAAGTTAGAGGAATTATAACTGTAGATTGCTTTAACTTGTCCAACAGTGCAATGCATCTTCCAGTGGGGTATCAAAATGTGCGTGAATATTTTCGTGATGCCATGCGGTTCCTCTCTGATTATAAATGGGTATATCGCTATCCAATGACTGGATTATTGGTACATAATGTTCTCGATCAGATTCCTCCAGAGTGGCAAATTTTCCTTGAACAAATGTCGCCCACCGAATTAACAATGCTATCAAATGGATATGTGCAGGTAAGTTAGTTTTCAATTATAGTAAATAAATAAAATGTCTTTCAATTTATTCACAGTCTCTTCTTTATTAACATGTTATTAAGCAGTAGAAATATGTTATAAATGTATACAATGCTTCTTTCTCATTGACAAAATGTTTAAAATCATAATTCGTAAGCTTCCTAAAAAATGTTGAATTCCGTTTTTTTAAATGCACATAAAAGAAATATGCGTTTATTTTGAATGTATTGGTGGGTTTGTTTGTTTTTGTAATTGATTTTGATTCAAGATTTTTCATGTTCTCTCTTCATAATTGTAAAGAAGGAATAGGTAATCATTTCAGAATGTGATGAGACCTACAGGAAATGAGATTTGTTATTAATTTCATTTGGTTCAGATTTCCGGTGAATAAGAATTGCAGAATTAATTCACAGACTGACCTTTGAGAGAAGGAATGTCTCCCCCCCCCGAGTTATCATTTTCATTTGTTATTTTAATTTTCTTAATTCATTCTGGACATCACATTTTGTTTGCATAAAATCTGAGGGAATATTTCCAATATGAATAATGTATATTTTTTAAAATTTTGAGCTAACAATTAAAGAAAAATATATTCAATTCATAATTTAATAATAATATTAATTATTGTCATAATATTTTATATATTATTATGATATATAAAAGGATACATTTTTATTATAATTTTGAAATGTCATTTTCAAAATTATTGTACACATGATTGCCATTTGTCTAACAAATTTCTTATTAGTAAGTTGATGTAATTTCTGTGCCTGTATTTGTTGATACTATTCTTCTGAATTATTCAGCTTTTTAAGAATATTTTCCTTATCTAGGCACATTGGCCGGCTTCACTGGTTCTATTCTTGAACAAATGCAAATGCCTACAATTGGTTGATAAAATACATACTGATGAGTGGAAATTGTCTCGAGAGCTTTGCAGAGGCCTTTCTCCAAAGAAGCAGCATGAAGTATCTCGAATGATTTCATTGGTACATCAGGAGTGTCAGAAGTTAGGCATCCATAATATATTAGATGTAGGATCTGGGCTGGTAAGTAATAACAGAATGTTTGAAAATGGGTTTTCCTCTAGGGAATCTTTTTTGCATTGTATTTCCTAAACCTTTCCTTCTTTTATCCCCCTCTTCCCAGGTCTAAATATATAATATAAATATTACAAAAAGGAAACTATAAATAGTTCAATTTCTAAGTTTCAAATTGGTTTCGTAATAACAGGTAAGTTAATAGTTAATGAAGGAAAAAGGGTTTCAATGCATTTCTGCATTTCAAATTGGCAATTACTTTCTCCATTCAAAATGAACAATATGCAATTAACTGATATTAAAGTAACAAAATTTCTAGGTATTTTAATTCAATCAAATCTGATATGGAATGTACATTTAACAGAATTAAATGCTAAATTAAGTTTATTATGTTACACATTAGGTTTTATTTCAAATTGTCAGCCTTCATGCAGTTTGTTGCGTATATTTGCAAATGTACATTCTCGTCTGAGGTATGGAATAATATTCTGGGGAAGCTAATCTTTTAGTACCCAGACCTTAAGATTGCAAAAGAAAATTATTCGAACAATGAAAAAATGCTGACCACATGATCTCTCCAAGTCTCTCTTCGTTGAGCTTGGAATCTTACCATTGCTGTGCCTATTTATTTACAAATCTGTAATTTTTGCCAAAACTGAAAAAAATAATGGTGGTAACATATTTTCATACATTATTGATATAATTACAAGACATTGTACAATGTCATTCATCAAGTGTGAGTATCAATGGCTCAATACAAGAAATCCGCATTCAATACATGTATGTTACTTTATAATGCATTGCCAGATGACATTAAACAATTAAAGTTGGTGAACAAATTTAAGTGAAAAGTAAAAGTTGAGCAAATGCTGAGATTGCCCCTTGTTTTGCTTCTGGACATAAATGTAGTTACCTTTGTGCATGTTTTGTTGAACTGTCCTTTTGCTTGTAGTGATAGGAGTAGAGCTGGGGGTGAGTTACTATTTTGTCAGCAATGCAGAAAAATCAAATATGGGGTTGGTTTACTGATGCAAAATTAGTTTTCTATAACTCGGGAGTGAAAATGTCTAGTTTCTACAGGGAGTGCAAAGTCAATACTGTGCTCTATGCCCACGAGTTGGCATGAGAAAGTACTGGATTTATATGGGAGACATTAAAATATTTACTTGTAGTAAATATTAACAACTGTCAACTTTGTTTATATACATTGTGGTGCTGGGTACTTGTCTACAAATCTTGTGTTACTAGATGCAAAGACATTAGAATTTTTCACAGAGCCTTAATTATAAGTTGTGAGAAAGATGGTATTTTAGATGATATTAGTTACGAAGGGCAGGTAGATTTATATAAATGTTTATTAGATCTGTTGATAGGGAATGTTAGTTTACTTAGAGAAAAGATTGTAATGTTGGAGGATAAGATTCAAGATATGAGTAAAACTTCAAAAATAATGTATTTGTGTGTTGTTAGTAAATGGATAAAAAGTTCCCCCTATCGTGATAAAACCAAATCTTAAAATTGCTAAGGGTTCGATTACCAAAGCTATTAAATTGAAAATTGATATCTTGAATGTTAATGTTAATGTGAGTTCTGTCAAGGAAACAAGGAATGGTGATGTCGTTAATTGTGTGAACAAATGCAATAATGAAATTGTTATCTCCAAACTAGACAGAATTTTAGATAATAATTGTAAGATCAAAACTAAGCAACTGAGAAAACGACAAGTAAACATTGTAAACGTTTTAGATAACTTTAATATTGAGATCGCCCAAACTGTTCTTATTAAGCATCTAGTATAGTATCTAGTATAGCAAGTACTAACAAATAAAGGCAAAATATCTTTCACAACATTTTACAGATCACACAAATTAAATGAACTTAATTTTATTAATGATTTGTATGAATACTTGTCTGAAATACAACACTTCTATAATCACTATAACTGGGGACATCAACTTAAATATATTGAAACCTGACATTCATACTGTAGATTATATTACTAATATAATGGAATTTGGTTACATCTTGTATATAAATATTCCAACAAGAATTTGTGATGATTCAAAATCTTGTATTGACCATATTTTTGGTAAATCTATTAACTTAACTGTAAAAACTCTTAACATGTGACTTGGATCTGACAGATCATCGTGATACTGGCAAAACTAATATCACAAGTGATACTTTCATTGTAAATTACAAAAAACTTTCTGATAAACTAAACAAGATAAATTGGAACAATATTTATAATGAAAAAAATTTAGAATTAGCACCCAGCATCTTTATAAATATTATTATAGATGTCATAAATGCTTCTAAGATAAAATTAAGACATTTCCCAAAAAACCAAACCTTGTAAGGAAAGAATCACTAATGAAGCCATGTAGAGTAAAAAATAATTTATTCAAGTTAAAAAAAATATCCCTTTGATAAAAACTTAAAAAATAAATATTTGAAATATAAATCTGCTTTAGATTCATTAATAAAATACTCCAAATATAATTATTATGAAATTATTTTGAGCGAAATTTCAAGCAATTTAAAAAAATTATGGCAATTTACAAATCAAATATGGATAATGTTAGGAAAATAATAATTATCTTTCTTTTTATATTGAAATAGTTCTTTGATTCAGAGTTACTTGCACATACGTTTTGTATTTTATTTCTAATTTTTGGACATTAATGGACAAATGGTCTGTATATTGGAATAAAAGAATTTATTGCACATATCTGTACAAATTCATTATAATCTCTGAAGTAGGACCCTTGTGCTTTGACAGAGTAAACGCATCTGCCAATCTGTGAACGCCTTCTGGATGACATTTGCCAGTATGCTGTTTAGGATCCTCATTACTGTGTGACTACTGTGCACTGCAGAATATATGTGTTTTGTCATGGGTCACACTAATTAAGAAAGATTTTAAGAATTACAATTTTTGCAGGGCTACCTTGACCTTGCGCTACATGTAGAATTTGGTTACAAAGTTCTTGGTCTGGAACGTAACAATACATATACCATCACTGCATCCCAGAAGGCATCTTCTCTTTGTGCTAATTGTGAAGCAGTATCTTTCTATCCTTGTGAAGTTTCTCATACTACTTTTGAAGAAATTGTACACGTCATGGAGAAAAGGTAAGGTTATACAGAAAAAAAATATTTATTTATTTATAATTTGACAGACTCATCCAATATACAAATACAGAATTCAAATTAAGAAAAATATAACTCGTGAATATCATGATTACAATACAAATATTATACAAATCAATACAAATATTATACATTACAACTCACTCATAATGCAAAATGCAAATACGGAATTCAGTAAAAACAAAAACATTCTCCCAGACTCCAAATGTCACAACGTGACTCATTTACCATCCTAGTCGTTCCAGTGATAGTTTAAACTTATTTGCAGTGTAGGTATTTGTATAGACCATGGAAAACGTTTCTTTATTTCAGAGTGAATTACTGACTCAAAAATGCAATTCTTCAAGTAACAGTGGGTAATCAATTCTACTGTTTACTAATTTAAACACAAACAAGGTAACATTGAAATTACGAAGAGATGAAATAGAGGGCATGTGTAGGGTAGAAGATAGACTATAATCATGATCAATGTAAGAGTTGTGAATGCCAAAACATGGTACAGCAATTCTGAAGAACTTGTGCCAGACAGATTCAATTTCAGGATAAAGAATGTGAACACACAGAGACCAGACCACAGATGAAAACATTAAAATAGGTTTATTAAGCATGTATATGGTGTGGTATATGCATATAACGTTTTTAAAATGTTTTTCAGCATTGAGTTCAGCACATGTTCTTTGGACGAAACCAAGGATTTGGTTGACTTTTTAGTCGTGTAGTCAGTACTTATTTATTTATTATTAACTGGCAATTTGTCCACAATTTACTACAAAGTAAAGCTGGAGTGACAGTAATTTACAAATACTAAACATCATCTCACAAATATAGAATGTAATAAAATAATACATCTGAAAATTTACAATATAATAATTGAAATAAAATACTGGTACAGTGACTCAGAATAACCATTTCAATGTAAACAACGCATTGTCCATACTTTCTGTAATGTCTATATTTAAATTGAAACCAGGCCCAATTTCATTCGCTGCCCTGCAGAATATTTAGAGGTGAATTTGTATGGTGGTTATGAGAATATGAGAAGTAGACTTAGTCTAATTATGCCATTTGCAGTGAAGCTATATATGCTTTAATTATATGCTAATGTTAACATATCTTTATTTTTATTTAAGTTAAAAAGTACTGGAAGCTTTTTTGCACATGTATACGTGAACAAATCATAAAATACAAGATATTGTTTCCTTTTTTTGCCCCCTTTCATTTTTCACATTACTGATTCTTCATATTCTTGGACTTAATTCTTAACTAAACCCAAAGATATTCTTCGATCCCTTGATATTCACGATCTAAAGAAACTTCTGAGCATTCATGAATGTATTCTACTGTTATTTGAAACAGAAAATATTCCTCCACAACTGCATGTTTGACGAGTTATTTGACAATGCTTCTTGTCACAGGAAGGTATTAGATCGATAATCTTCCACTTCTTATAATGCTGAGGTACATAATCATAAACTTGTTAGGAAGTTTGTGACAATTTACCACAAGTTAATCTAAGAAACATTCCTCCCTACTAAGCCAAGTGATGGCATAAAAAAAGGATTTTTTTCATTCTTATGGTAAAATCAATTGGTTTAATGGAAGTTTGACTGCATAACAATGGTAGTTGTTTTAATAGGTTTCACTGTACACAAATGTAGGTTTTTTGTTGTTTTTTTTTTGGTAGACCATGTGTGAGTAAAGTTAAACATTTTGCAACATTTGGAATTCATAGTATAACTAGGTCTTTAAAATGATTTCTTTGTACTTTGCAGATTATCTAGAGGGCATTACCCTTGCACATCCAGGATACAAGAAGAGAATATCTCTGACAGATTGTCAAAGGTATGTAGTTTGGATGGTTCATCAGGAGGGATCAGTTAAAGATAGTAATAAGCCACAATGTTTAAGTATTCGAGTGAAACAATTCAATGCTCTCTTCTCATTTTCTGTCGCAAGATTCCATTTTATTGTCAGGTGGCTGAAAAATACATAAATGGTTTTGGTGACTACATTGCGTTATAGGTGTCTGCCAAATATTCAGTTAGCTTTAAAACTGTGGGTGGCTTATTGTTTTCTCTCACTGACCTCTTCAAACGAACTTAACATTTTTGCGATAAAAATTACTCTCAAGGTTTACCATGTGCAATTGTATAGAATTGTATAGAATATTGTATTGCATATTGTATAAAATAATAGTCAATCCGCTAGTTTACCATTGTGTATGTATGTACTTTGGCACAACAGCTCTTTACGAGCTAACCAGCACCTACCTGCAGCACCTACCAGCAGCATCTACGAGCAACCTACCAGCAGCATCCTGGACCACCTCTATGTACCTGTATTCAAATTCTGGACACTTTATTTGGAATTTGTGGTGGCCAAAGCATTTTCAGGGAGTGTTTCTCCTGTTTTCTGTGCCTTTCATCCTACCTCCAACTCCATTTACCTACTAATTTACTCCATTTACCGAAAGAGGGTGGCCTCTTTCTGGAAAACTGAAAAAAGTCAAAGAAGTTAATTGGTTTGAAAGGTCAGAAAAAATCAGGGAATTTTGAGAATAATACTTGAAAATCAGAAACATTTTTAGATAAACAAAACTAAATGCATGCCAAAGTGCCCACTGCAAAGTTTGACTCTCGTTAGAGCTGAGCAATGGATTTGTGGAAACTGATGCTACAGTTGACACTCATTCTTATGGATACTGATGCAAGAAAATTGTTAGTGTTTTTATAGACTGTTGTACTGCCTACTGAGATACCATGTGCAGTAGTCAGAGTCAATAGAGAAAGCAAGGCTTTTGGTGCTGTACACAACAAATTTCCTCAATGTCTGAAACTGCTACCATCTTAACCAAACTACTAAAAGACAATAAAATGGATGAACACCCAGAAGACTTTTGAAGTATCATCAGCAACTTCCATGAGGGGAGAATCCCGGGAATTAATCTAGATCATCAGAGTGAACTAGCGAAAACCACATGTCGTATTGATGTAAAAACAGAGATGATGAAAGACAATCTGTCTTGTACAACAGATACTCGAGAGCACGGGTATAAAAGCATTAAAGACAAGAAGATGCCTAAGAACATAGTTGACAAATTCGCAGCAGATGTAGCTAAGTGTAAAATAAAAAAGATAATCTTAGAAAAATGCTACCTCATTGAACAGAGATTTGGGGAAACCAATGAGGAAGTGATGAACTTGTAGATGAAAATTAAAACTCACTTTGATAAGACTCAACAAAAAAATGAGATGAGAAATGCACTGATAACATAGTGCGGCAATGACAAAACAAAACAACAACAAAAATATGTGATTCTTATGTAGTTCAGTGCTCTTATGACAGTGGTGAAAACCATTGTTCGCTATCACCTAAACTTTCTTTGGGAAATGCAATTGTATCTGTGCTGTGTTGCATTATTTATGTTATCCCAGCCCACATTCTTTTATTTTAGGAATGTTATTGCCTATTGGTGGTAATAGGAGAGGGGGATATAATCACATGGGGTAGGTAAAGAAAAATTGCAGTTGCATCAGTCAATTGATAGATCAGATAGTATCTATTTTTGAAGAGTGTAAATCCGCTAACGTGAAAAATTTTGTTTTTACTGTTCATGCGTTTCTTATACTCGTCTATGTCTACGATGTGTGGATTCACCAAATCTTTTCTGTTATGTGTGGCGAGTATACGACCAAGTCGCAAAGATGTACCATTTGTATGATCTTCAAAAAGGTGTAAGAGTTTATTTTGAATCAAAGGTAGGTGAGGGTAAGTATTGAGCACTACAGAACTGTTGCTCGCATTGTTCTTGCTATTGAAGAGGTCTATTGTGTGGAACCTCCGGTCTATGCCATTTGTCATACCACAATTGTGGAGGGAACCTAAACACCACATTACAGATTGCTACATTTGTTTAATGAATGTAAGAGGAATCTCAAGTAAATCATAACACACAGATTCTTATCCAAATTTGGAATCTGCAACGCGCCCAGTTCTACATTCTGATATTCTCAGTTCCAAAACCACTAATGGAATGGACACTGGAAAAATGAAACTGATGATGGTGACAAACTGACAGATAATGAAGATTTTGGTTACACCTCATCTGCAGCACTGTTACAACCCCAGCCATAGTCGCAGGCAGAATTGAACGATATTGTAAGAGATCTAAATCTTCAAAGAGACAAGCAGAATTACTTAGGTCTCATGTTCAAGAAAAGAACCTGTAACAACCAAACATTATATTGTAATGACATATAATTTATTGTAATGTATATTGAAAAAACATAAATGGTCTGCTTACAAAATGTAGGATGATTCACAATCCGAAAAAATGGCACCTATTTTCTTCTAAAAATGCAGAATGGTTTACACAAAATATTGCTGTTTCTTGTGTTACTGGATAGTAGAGCAAAGAAAGACCATTATGTAGTCAAAGGGTGTCTTTTGAGAGAAATTTTCAATCCTGTTGAAAAAATGTGTCACGTGAACCTCTTGTTGACAAAGAAAGTGTGCAGTTACCACCACTGCCTCTGAAATTGGGCTTTATGAAGAATTTTGTGAAAGCAAAAGAGAAAGTGGGCCACGGTTTTAAATTTTTACTATCTAAATCTCCTGCAATTAATACTGCAAAAATTAATGAAGAAATTTTCATTGGATCTCAAACCCGTGACCTGATGAAAGATATCACCTTTGATGGTTGTTGGCAGTTACTGAGAAGGCACCTTCACTTGCATTGGAAGATGAATGTGACAATTGTTTTTGAAACGTAATGTCTGAGGATTACAAGGAATTTACGGAACACATGTTGGACTGTTCCAAGACTATGAAGTGCAATATGTCTCTTAAATTACATTTCCTTCATTCCTATTTGGATTTCTTCTCACATTATTTTGGAGATATGAGTGTTAAATTTGGTGATCATTTTCATCAAGATATCGATGCCATGGAAAGTCGTTATAAGGGATGTTGTTCATCAAATCTTTTGACAAATTATTGCTGGACACCCCTACAAGAAGTTTCACTAACCACCCACAACTGAAAAGTTTCCAACTTGTAAGTACATTTCAAGCTTTAATCAGTTTTCTTGTACTGTTTTCATTTTGTTTTATAATACAAACAATTAATTATACAAAAAAATTAATACAAAGAATTTTTGTAACATGATCTGTGTATTAATCAACTACAGATTTCTCTTGTATTGTTACTGAGACATTAACAAGTTTCTCGAAAGTGGTATGTGTGGCGCATCATTTCCAGAAAAATTGGTACGTGATGGAACATTTCTGATTTCATTTTTGCAAACAACATGATTTAGTAAAGTGATTTGACATGTGATTTAGTAAAGAACATATATTTCATCTTGCAGCAAGACACAAAGTTCAAATTTGTTGCACTGTGTATTTAGAGAAATTGAAGAAAAGAACACTCGTAACCAGAATGTAGTTCTATATGGTGTAAGAGAATCCAAATGAACCTCATCCAAATGAGAGACATTCCCAAGACTTGGAAGATGTTAAGCCATTGTTGAGCAATATAAATATCCCAGCAAGTAAAGAGAAGTTTGACATTGATCTGGGTAGTATCCCAACTAAACCAAGCCATGTTAAAGTAGTGCTGCGCAGTTTTGAATCCACCAAAAATATCCTCCTTACACTGGACTAGCACCAAGGAGAAGAAAACCTATAGTTATGTATATGTTGTGCGAAAATTACCTTTGGAACAATTTGCCATCCCCCCAGACCCAAGACTCTGACCTGAATTCGTTAAACATTCTAGATAAAGCCAGTATAATGAAAGAACTGTTCTAATTTTTGGAAACTTCAAACCACCACCAGAGACCAAACCAACTATAATATGGATGGAGAACCAGCAGACACTAAAGACAAACATAGATAAAATATGGGGGAGGGGAGGGAGAGGGAGAGAACTTCTACCTTGTTCTGCTAGTTCTACAATAGAAAATAGCATTGAGATTCTCATTAAGAGTAAGGTAATGCTTAAAAAACCCAGTCTTGCAATACCCCTACCTAAATTATTTTAGAAAGGCCTCCGAATTTCATGAATGAAGATACTAATTGTAAGATGTAATTTAACTTCCTTGAACACAAGCTATGATAATTGCAAAATTTTACGTCAGAAAGTGTTAATGCTTTCAGTAAGCACACTAATCTTTATGGTGTACATATTGCTGGACTTGTCTCTTGCCTAACTGCAATATGACAGGCAAAGCTGGGCCGAGGCATGGCCTATTACTTGGTGGAATACATCATCCAGTTAGTATACAGATCACTGCTTTGATGTGTTTCCAAGTTGGGGTTCTGCCTATCAGCAGTATAGCTCTGAAGAAGGCCACAGCAAGATGGCCAAAACATCAGTACAATTGACTGAGATGCGGCTCATCGCGGATAGCCAAGAATGCATTGACTCCGGCCGCGGAAGCCTACGAACCCACTTGCAGCATTCCCTAACTGATCAAATAATGGGATTTGATTTACTCAGAAGTTGTCAGTGAATGTAATTTTCCTGGGCACTGCCTAGGGTTTCTTTTCATGCAATGAGTCTGATTTAGTACACTGAGGATTTTCCAACCTTTGCAAATCCACTGCCACTTGTGGTCTCAGAATTAGAAAGCCAGTGTGCTTGTCTTCAGGACTGGCACTTAAATAATATTCTCCTTTTCATTTCAGTTTCATGAAGTATGTATGATTGGATTACATACATGTGGTGACTTGTCTGCTGTGGCTGTTGACTTGTTCATGCACACTCCTCAGCTGAGGCTAATGATATTAGTACCGTGCTGCTATCACAAGCTTGCCACATTGGAAGAAAAGGATCGTTGTGGCCCTAATGTTGTAAATTTTCCCCTTAGTGAAGAGTTGACCAATGTGTTAAAGGAAGAATTTGGTGGGTAAGTTCCAAGATACAATTTTTTACATTCGAGAATGTTGTTAAATCCTGAAAGTAATAAATGTAGACTATTTGAATAACATATCTGAAGTTGCTTGCAGTGAGACCAGATTATAATTAATAGCTAACTATTTGTATAATAAAAATGCAGCTTGAATAAATCCTGTATTTTCTTGAATCTGAAACTGAATTTTAAATTTCATATCTTTTAAATGGCTTAAATTTAAATAATGACTGGAATTTGGTGGTGGCGGGTGTTTATTTTTTTGCTCGAGTGTTCTTTCATCGCATGATTATTAGCAATGATGTAGCAGGATCTTTCTGAAGATGAGTACAATTGCCATAATGACGACTTGAGGAGTTGCCCAACATGTACTTGAACAGATGCGTTCAAAATAACTAAATGTAAAACATATTGTGGATGTTACCATTGCAGCTGTGCTGATAGGATAAAAATGTTATTTCGCAGTGGATTTTTGAAGTGATTTTTGTCCATCACAATAACGGATTGCAAGGGCATGTAGTCTGATTTAAAATCTGAATTATTAACCAGCTTTAAGTCCATAATGGATGCTATAGTGAGGCGCTTAGATGGCCAGGATGCTAAACTCGATAAGTTGGAGGCCAGGATCTCAAAGCTTGTGGAGAGACCAGTGTCTGGTGAATCATCTGTTGTGACAGCAGAGAGTATTCTTGAGGAACTTTTGCAGAGGTACATTAGAGCCTAGAATGTCATTGTTTACGGTCTTCAAACTGATACCTTGAACTTAACAACAGCATTTTTTAGCATTATCGTGGTTTCCTGCAGGCTGTGGCTGCTAAATGTTTTGGAAAGGCACATGAAAGGGCCATTATGCCTGTAAAGGTCTCTTAGGAATGAAGGGGAGGCTTTATTTGTTTTCGAGAAACAAATCTAGAGTGGGAAACCTCAGAAATAAGATAAAAATGATCATACCAATGATCAACAAACAGATCATAAGGCATTGATCGAGGATCTGAAAACCCATGAAGCCAATGATGAAAAGGATATTGCACTAAAATTCGGATATTGCACCCTAAATAGTGTCAGAAAACAAACTAATTAAGGGATATATTGGAAATTGTAGGGATTTTAACATTTATTAGCAAACTTTCTACTCTTTGCCAGGGACAACAAGATATTTATGAGTATTAAATCTGTGGAGGTCACAGAAAAGATGCAATGTGATTTAGATAACTTTAACCGATGTACCAAAAATAAAACCCTCTTAAACATAAAAAAATGTTCACAAATCACCTTCTCTCAAAGACATCATCCCCATTACTTTTCAATACAGATTGAATGGGTAGAACTGAACAAATTTGACAGTATTGTTGATCTTGGAATCACATTTGATTCCAAATTGAATTTTAATAAGCGTGTTAGTATATGCAGATCAGCTTTGAGAAAATGGGGCTATGTTCAAAGGACTGCCAGAGTTTTCAAACACTTTAGAACTATTACTTCATTGTTTGTGACTTAAGCGAGACTTTACAAGAATATTGTTCCGTAATTTGGAAACAATCTGCATCCAAGCTAAAATGTCTTCTTCAATATACACAACACAGATACTTGAGGTTTTTAGCATACAAAGCGGGAAAGGCCATGGATAGATTTTCACATTTGCGCTGGAGATGTCAGGCCAAAAAACACCTAAGCATGAATGATCTGATATTCTTTTAAAATTATCCCAGGACTTATAGATTGTCCCCAGATTCTTGAAAATATAGATCTTAATGTGCCTACGAGATCCTTGAGAACTCGAGAAGTAATCAAGAGTTGCACCATCTAGGATGGAGTATTTGACAAATGTCACCATCATCAGACTGCCAAAGCTGACAAATTAGTATGCCAAATTAGTATATTTCTTTGATGTTTCATTGACTTCTTTTAAAACCAAGTTGTTGAACCAATTGGGATAGGCCAATATTTTATATTACTGTGATGACTTTATTTTCAAATATTGTGTACTGTTAACAACACGTTTATAGTCAATTCTAATTGATATTGTAATTTGACCTCCGCATCATCATTTTTCTTTAATTTGTAATACTTTTGTAAAAGGGAGAAAATCCTCTTTGGTTTAATAATTAATTAATTAATAAGAAATGAAATGTGTGGTTTACACATCAAACTTTTGGAATTGAGCGATAGTATTTCAGCAAGTGCTGCTCCTGATGATGTAAACGTTTTTACAGAAACGTGGTTGAAGGGGAACTTTTCAAACGAGGAATTGCTCATGTATTATTACAGATTATAGATGCTAGATTGAAACCCTGATATGAGTTCATTGCTGAGAGGAGGGTTCTGGTTGTGGTCCATAATGAAATTCAGAGTTCATCTATCTTAACAGTCAACAGTGTGAAGCATGTTTTTGTATGATTGGACTCTTTGATTGTTGCAGTTGGTGCTGTCTGCATACCAGCCGTTTCTTCTGCTGATGTGTATGATTGCTAGGGCAGGAAGTTTATGACCTAAAAATGTTAGAATTATGCAAGCTTTTATGATCTAAAAAGATATCGAAATATGACAATAAAACTTTTGACTTAAAAATAACTGAATAAAAATATGACTTAAAAAATTTTTGGTTTCATTTTTGAAACCTTCAATACCTTTCCACTGTTTAAATAACCATTATAGTAAAACCCTTGTAATCTGAACTAATTGGGGGTGCAGTCTATTCAGATTCGGAAATGTACCATACAAATACATCTATAGGATTACCAGACAATGCAATATAGTGTGGCGATCATTTCATCACATCATCAAGCAGATTCAGTTCTTTATGGCTAAAGAAGATTACCAATTTTGCAAGTTGCTCTAAGTGAAAATTACAGTATATATAAACATGTGGTATACACCATAGTTACCAATGCAATAAACGTTTCATTTCGACAACTTGTGTTTCAATAATTATAGCAGGATTTTGTGCCCAAGGACTCAAGTTGAACTTAATTATGTTATTGTAATGTGAATCTCATACTGTTGGTGTTCAATGTAATCTTTGTAAATATAATTTTAGTAATGCTAGTTAATATTTGAAATAGGATTGTTTTTTCTGTTTGTGTATTTCTTGGGTTTTCTTAAAGCACTGATGAGACCTTCAAATCAGCAGTTGAAACATCTGATAACTTAACCCCCTTTTTGTGTAACAAATTTTGACTTGCTAAATCATTTGAAAACAACAAAATTATTACATTATATGTACAAGGGTAACCATTGCTACTTAGTTCATTTAAGATTGTTTACCTTAGTCGCTACTTGTCTTTGAATTGATACATATACAATGGACAAATACAAACGGACAAACTTTTGTTTCTTGTTTTGAATCTGCAAATTTTATCTCTAAACTTTCGTATATGTCCTTTCAGAGTCTATAAGTTTAATTTCCTTTAATTTCTTCAATTTAAGTTTCTTTTAGTGAACTTGCTCTTTGTATATGCAGGATTTTATTTATCATTTTTGGTTGTCCAACGAATCAGGTTTGAAGAATATTTGGGTGGTTCATTCTTACGGCTGGCTTCTCAAGAGAGTTGCAGACGTTGGCAGCACTGGACTGAGGAACAACACCAACAACATTCGGAAAATCTTATGTCCCGTGCAGTGCTTGATCTTGCTGCAGTCAAATGTGAGTTTATTTGACATTTTATTTTTTCTTGCTTTTTATGTTGAATTGCTAATACAGAATCACAGTCAGATGTAGCCCAATACCCAAAACAGCTACACTCTGCTGAATTGGAAATTCTCATTCAAGTCAATTGAAGTGGTTGGTGGCTTTTGGTATTAAGAAATAAACAACTAACATGTACGTTGCACCAATAAAATTCAATAAAATCCAATAAAATACTAATAAATAATATATTTTTGAAAGTCCTTTGACGCTTTTGATTATGAAACCCTAAATTCAGGAATTAGAATCAAAAATTAAATTGGCAAATCTAATATGTTCATCTCTTAGTGACCCTATTTAAAAAGTTAAATATATTTGTGAGGTAACAAAACCTTTTATAACAAATCATCAACTGTAGTCTCTGCCCGCATCACAAGTGTACCCTGTAACCATCAACTGTATCCTGATAATAAAAAAAATAAAATAAAAAAATGAAATAAAAAAATAAAAAATAAAAAAAATAATAAAAATAAAATAAAATAAATTATCAGTACCCAAATTTATCCAATAACTTTGAAGAGAAACAATACAGGTGTTGAAATAATATTGCTTGATATTTGTAGAAAATTTATTGTACTTATGAAAGCTTAAAAAAATACAGCAATACAAATCTCTCAAAAGAACTAGCCAATAAAACATGCTTAAGAAGATCAGTGAAAAAGATGGATTTTATATCACTGGTATTAAAACGTGTAACAACCCATCAGATGAATTGAGCAAATCAAGAAATTCAACTATTTGGGAGAGATAAAGAAAATAATGTATGAAAGTTCACTGTAGAGGAAAGGATATGCAAGATAGAAACAACACACCAGATCGCTGAGCATATTTGCTCAAAAAACTGCTTGTTTCATAAGTTATTTTTAAATGATTGTCAGTATATATGATATAATTGATTATTCTTCCTTGAATTAAGGAAGCAAGAAAGAAAAAACTGGAACAATGAAAGATTATTGGAAAGAGGGGAAGAGAAAACATTCAAGGATGCAATATTGAAATTGCCCCGCGGTCCTCATTTGGGCTTAACAGAAAGACATGGTAATAGCAGAAGAAGAAAAATGGGATTGTAGAAATAGAGGAAGAAGAAGGAAAAGAAAAAACATATTTATTAACAAACAATAAAAGCCAACAAATATTGCAACCATACTTAAAAGTAAATGAAGAGCATGTGAAAATAATTTGTTGATGAGTATTTTTATTTTCTCACCCTGACTACATAAGAAGAGAAGGTATTTTAATCGTGCGCTAGCCATTTTCGACAGAAAAGCTCTTAATGTCAGGCCCTGGAAACGAAATAGTGGGTAAATCATGTTTCTATATATAGTAAAATACTTCCTCTAATACGTAGTGAAGTCAGAATCAATGTTTTGTGGGTCCTTGATACTGAAAACTTGATTGACGACAAAATCTCGTATGTCTGTCCATCCCACCTCTCCATATCTCCATCTCTCCATTGGTGAATGCTAGCACCTTAACAATTCAACTGATTTTCTTCAATGTTGATATTCCCCAATCGTTCTGAGACTTTGCGAGTTTGAAATGGATACTTGGATTTTTGATGGTACTTTACATGAAGCCTCAAAAACATTTTCAAAATTTCTCCAAAATTGCACCAATGTTTTTTTATTAAATTTTGTTCTCTGAGAGGGTAAAGGATGCTGAGGAGAATGGTGAAAGTCTAATGTTCACTGAAGTCCCTGATTTTTTGAAGTGTAACAGTTCAATTTTTTTCTGTTTTCCCACTACTTTGATATTGAAGATAGAGAATTTTTTTCCAAAACAAAACCTGTTCTTTGAGGACATCTTGAAATAAAGTCATGCACAAATTTTTGAAAATATGCGTAGTTTTAACATTATTTTGCATAAAATATATGCAGTTTTGAATTTTTTAAAACAATCTTTTTCTCAAAAATGGCTTCAATTTTTTTCTTTTTTTTCCTGGTAAATTTTTTCCTTGTTCAAAGGACGGTAAAAAAAAATCATGCTTGTTTCATTCCCAGCAAACTGTATTTTTGGAAAATGCAAAAAGTTAACATTACAAAACTACAAAATTGAAGATAGAGATTTTTACTTTCAACAAAATTTGTTTAAAAAAATTAGCTCTTTAAAAAAGGTCATGGGCAACTTTTTGAAGAAAGAAGCAGTTTTGGCGTAATTTGTGCTTGGAATTTATGCAATTTATAGAATTCCAAAAGTAATTTTAGAGTGGTATCCTGTGGGGAGGAAGAGAAAAACATAGCTGGTTGAGAGAAATTGAGGGACTTTTGGAAGAGAAGAATTTACCAGACAAGAATTATAAAGATTGGGACAAGTGGAAAAATAAAATTATAATTATATAAGTACTAGAATTTTTGGGTAACAGAAAGTTGTTTTTTTAACATGTAAAACTGTGAAATAAATAAATATATTTTTTAAAAATTTCAAAAACTGCTCTGAATTTTTCTTTAAACTTTTTCCTGAAATGTATCAAAGGACAGTGAAAAATATGGCGCTAGTGCGATTTTCTGCAACCTCTCCGTTTTTTTTGAAAATCGACCGAAGTTAACATTTTAAAACTACAAAATTGTAGAGATTTTTGCCTTAAACAAAATCTGTTCTAAAATATTCAGCTCTTTTAAAAAGGCTGTGTACATATTTTTGAAAATATAAGTGGTCATGTTGAAATAAATAGAATTAAAAAACAAATATTTTCTTAAAAACTGCTTCAACTTTTATCTCTAAATTGTTTCCACGGATAAAACAAGGGGTGCTTAAAAAATGGTGGAGGTCTCATTGATCTCTCTGACATTTCAAAAATTGTCTGTTAGAAATATTAGGTTGAGATATAATAATATTAGGTTGGATATTTAAGCATTGGCCCGAGTTGGTGTGTCTTAGTTGCTAGTTTGGAATATGGGAAAGGCACATGGCTGGTAAACTCAGAGTTCAAGTTTTGGTGGGGAAAACATTTTAGCTGTTTGAAAACCATGTTGCAGGTTCATGAAGTAGTAAAATATTGCGTAGCAGTTAATAATGTGAGAAAGTATGTGCTGTAGTAGCTCCATTAGTTTACAGTTGAAAGTAAACTTAAAAATAATTTCTTGCGTATGATATTGTTTTAGTTATATATATTTTAATGTTTCTTAATTTGTTTACAGTGGGTCTTGTTCTTAAAAAAAAACGGCGTCGTTGTGTACGTAAAACTCAGAGAAACAACTTTGAATCTTTCATAGAAGATGCAATGGAGAGGTATGACTTTTTATTACCAAATGGTGTTATTGCTACAACTGAAAAACATGAAGAAATTTTAAAAGAAATGACAACTCTTTGGCTTCAATTTAAAAAATTCTGTAATTTGGCAGAAGCAGTAACTGGCTTACAAGCTGCTATGCAAACATCAGTAGAAAGTGTAATTCTTATTGATAGGATTACTGCTTTGCAAGAGAAGCAGAGTCAGTTGACTTTAGATGTTGTGAAAGTTACAGATGAAGAACTGTCTCCAAGATGTAGGGCATTAATAGTCAGAAAGTAATGGTTCCTTTCTTAGAAAATTGTTCATAGATGAAGGCTTTCTGTGCTGAAGTTGATGTTAGAATATTTGTTGGAGAAATGACATGTTCTAATCAATGTCCCTAACATTTCAACCAATGTGCTGTACCCTTTGTCAGGGCCACAACTTTTTATGTAAGTGAAGATCACAGCAACATATAATCTAATGTGGAGTCTACCAGAAAGCCAAGATTACAAGACCAAGACCAGACTTTTGTATGAATATCTCTTCTTATTGTAATTTTAATTAAGAGTGTTAATGTCTGTTACATTAATTTTTTTACTGAATATCATCTCATGTGTCATTATATTTTTAATATGGTACTAATGTTAAAATAGTTATTTATGGAATAGAAATTTGATTGTATCTTTGAGATTGTTTAGATGTACACCTGGGTGTAAACACTTTCAGTGTTTACTAGAAAAAATATTCAAATGGTAAAATTGAGAAAACAGTTTTCTAATTAACCTCTTTGGAAAATTGTGTGTGGAGAAGATGGTGTACTTACTGATATTTTACTTCTAGAAATGCAATTTCCTTTGAAGCAATTGATATATATTACTTGTTTCTTCGTTTGTTTGAGAACTCTGAAGCTAATGACATTTGGAAGAACATTTTGAACATTTTTCGTTCAGAATAAGTTTTAATATAAATGTCTACATTGTGTGTTTTTAATTGAAAAGTTCATGTTGGACACTGTTTAAGAAAGAATTTCTGCTGTGCAGATTATCTGTTGTTGTACTATACTCTTATTAATTTTGTTAGTATGGTTAATGATAATTTATGTAAGGTAATTTTAATGTGTGTTTTTTATTAATATGTTGTGAATGATGTAGTATAGAATTAATGAGCTAGGTATTAATTGTTTTGAGAGATGTAAAAACTGAATCTAAGAACAGGTTTTGTTAAAAAAAGAAAAAAACTTGATAATAATGTAAAGTGAAGTCATATTGTTCAGGAATGTAGTATGATACAAACAGGCCATTAAAGATTTTCAATAAATTTTTAGAACTCATTCCATGTACTGGTCAATAAACGTTGTTAGTATTTTGAAAAATTCATGTGAGTAAGATCGTAACACTTTGTTATGTAATCATACATTTATGAATGCTTACTTGCTTAGAAAATCAAAGAATGTTTTTTCGAACAATTAATCATTTACAGTATTCTAGAATAAGACTAATAATAAGTTTACTTTGTTTCATTATCAATAGACACTTCCCATATAATATTTCAATGATACTTTAAAGTTGGTTAGAAAAATATTAAGTATCTAAATGTGAAGTAGAGAAATCAATTTTTGTTACATACATTCCTATTATTGGCATTTAGTGTTATTAATTTTATGTTTTAATAATATGTTATTTATTGTTATGAACTCTTGGACTCATTTTAAAGATGGTGCAATTAAGAGAGGTGATGGCTGCCATAGGAGCCCTAACATTGTGTAAGGTTGATGTTTCACAGTACTTTGGAGAAAATGCATTGTTATCTGATAAGACAAAGGGTTGATAGAACAAATGATGAATTATGAGCAAGAAAATGGGAGAATTTTATGAAAATCTGCTTCAGGATTCATTGTTCACCACAAATACCATGTCTTGATTTTATCAGCAATCTCTTGTGGGGAACATGAGTAGTAGTACAATGAATCTGTGACATGTTACGTTGTGTTTAATGAAATTCTTCCTTAGGCTGATTTTCAATCAGTTTATAAATCATCCAATCATCTTTAAAAGGACATTTTAGTGTTAATAGTATGTATGTTATGTAAGTTAGTGCATACTTTTGATTAACAATTTTTTATATCAAAATACAGTGGACTCTTAATAATTTGAACTTGCAGGGAAACTTAAAAAAAATTCAAATTACTTAAGAAATAAATGTTCAAAAATATCATCTTAAATTAATATATTACACATGTGGGTGCTGCGTTGTACCTATGTAATTGCCAAATTTTAATGTTTGTTCCTTTTTCTGTTTAACAAAGCATTTCTACTTTTTCACCAAAATCAATCTGTGGTCTATGGTCTGTGCTTTGATAGGAAGGTTGCAAAAATGCCAAAGGATTGAGATTTATTTTCTTTGAAATCTATAAATAGGTGGCTTCAAATTCTCATCCAAATTTTAAAAATTTAATTGAATAAACAGTGTTAACATTAAGTTAATTGAGAATTTTAAGCGAAATAAACTCTGTTTAATGAACCAGTATTTTTTGTACACTGAACAAGTGCCATATATTGATGTGGAACTGTGTCAGATTGACTGTTGCGGTGTGTTGACAATTGCTCTGTGTATCACTTGGAAATAAATCACAGTAATATGACAGCATCCCATTTTGCTTGATTTGGGTCTTACATCTCCATCCATCCGCAATCCCACCCTCCTCCTTATGACATTGTTTCTTTCCTTGATTTCCTTGTACTGCACATTTCACTTTACAATCTTTGGAGTATTTTTAATTATGGAAAATAGTTAATTAAAATTAACGCTATTAATATCAGTGCAGGTAATTAATAGAATAGCACTTACTGAGGTGACTCAATGTATCAACTGAAGTCACTGCAGTCCCTCTGGCTGACTAGGTCCAAGGGTTTGAGTCATGACGGATGCAGGATTTGTCTAGATGGCTAGGTTGAATTCAGCCGTTGTTTGAAGGAGAATAATAGTGGCCAGCTGCTCTGATTGGTAGTTTTTTGTGGTTTCTCTCATCAATACCAGGGGAGACCAGGTGGGATCTTAGATCTTGTCCTAGTTGGAGTGGTGCTCTGCTGATTGGATACACCTGGATTTAAAACCCCTCACAAGCTGACTTATACCGGAACCGGATCTCACCATTGGAGGGGGGGGGAGGAAGGAGAATACTGCTACCTCCTGTGATAAAAATTCATGCACTACACTTATGAGACAAATTACCATAATACCCAGAAACAAAATAATCAGTCAATCAATCCATCAATTAATAGAATGTCTCGTATGGTTCTGTTATTCATGAGTACTGCATCCTTGTGATTGTTAATATGGTTCTAATTGTGATATGTATTTTATGTGCTAGATTTTTTAACCATGACCTGTTGGTGCTCCAACTCTAACTTCAGAAGTGGGGAATCCTTTGCCTAAACTAGTTTAGATATTGTGCAGTAAGGCAGAAATCTTCAAAAGTGAGAGCCATCTGCTGATTTCTGTTATAGAATCATGATATGCATCTTAATTCTTAAACAGTATGCTAATGTTAAGTTTTCTATGATAAGTAGTATATAGATTGTTAGGAATTTACTTGCGTTAACTAACAACTGAATAAAATTGTAGTGAATTAAAATCCTTTATGGGAAATTTTCAAAATGTATTTGCGTAATTATTTCATGCAGTTATTGTGTTAGTATATATTTATGTATGTATGTATTTTAGGGTTGAATTAATCTTACCTTTTGCCAGCTGGCAGAGTTCCCAGGCCTGGGCTTTATTTATTATCCATGCCTGGAGATTAGGGAGTCATGTGGTGAGCATGTTGTATTCCCATCACCGTATGTAACATACTTGACCTGCCTGAGCTTTTCTTACGTCACACTTTTATAGAATGAAGATGATTGTATTAGAAAGCTACAACTCTATTTTTGCTATCACCAGGAGTCGAACTTGGGATCCCACCGCTGGAAGGTAGCATGTTGTCCATGAGCCACTCAACGGGCAAGTAATAGTAGTATTAATTTTAAAGAAATGTTTATGACAAGAGTTGATAATTATAGTGTTTGAAGGAATCACTTTTTTTTTTTTTTTTTGGTGCAATGGGAATAGTTGTGCTGTGTTTTAACTAACATAGCTGAGTGAGAAAGCGGTAGAAAAAGAATGATATAAACCTAACTTATTAAATCATACAAAATATCAAAGATGGTTTGAATTTAATGTAGAGTTTGAGATTTTGCTTTCACCATCCTTTCCACGAAATGCGATACCGAGAAGAACTCCTTAGAAATGTCCCCAAATACCTCATATTACAGTTTGAGAAACATAACTTGAAGGCAGTGGCCTTTATAACCAGGTTTTAAGACCTACTGTTTTTTAGGGGTGTACAATCAATGTGTCAGAAAACAGTCTTAAACGAGACATATGTCGGTAGATTTCGATGTTGTGTGATTTAGATGCGTTTTCCCCTGTTAATATTTATAACATGAAAGTTCAATTCATCACCTCTTTGTTAAATTCTCTTTCTTTTGCCCCCATACTTGCTAAGATTGGATGGGTGTGAGAGCTGCAACAGAAATCTACATCACAGAAGTAGTCGAAGTTAATTACTCATAATAATTTATTCTTAGCATTTTCTTATGTTTACAATTTGAGTATTTGATAAATGTTGAGAATAGTCAGTGTCGAATGCATGAAGTTCAGATTTTTATAATGCTGAATTCAATTTGCACTGAATCAAGTAAATAGTTTCTCAAATATTGATCACTACCCATTTAAAAGTATTGCATTGGTATTAATGTTTTGATCAACAAAATTTGTTAAAAAATGACTATTATTTAAAATCATTTTATCTAGTGTTTAATTTACAATACCAATATAAATATGATGAAAGTGGTGTGGGACGTGGCAAAAGATTTATACAGCTTATGTAATTCAATATGTACGGGTGAATTTAACTGACATAAGTATGGTGGTGAATTAAACCTAGATACTATTTGGAGTATATTGTAAAGATATATGAGATGTATTTTATCTGCTTAATACTTTCTTGCCATATGTATGTAGTAAAGAGAATATCTTGTAATACTGTGGCAAAAGTGGCGATTATTGTGGAGCCCTGATATCAGTTAAGTGGATACAATTTTTTTGATTTTATGTAGTAAATTACTACCTCTAACATATTGCATAGTCAGAATTCATGTTTTTGGGTCACTGATATCGATTAATTGGTTGACGGCAAAACGTCTGTTCGCCCATCCGTTTAAATTTTCTCCTCAACTGTACCAAAGGACATAAAGAAAGTGGTGCTACTCCAATTCCCGGTGGAAAGTTAACATTGTGAAAATACAAATTTGAAGATAGAGATTTTTGTCTTAAATAAATTGTTCTAAAAAATCAGATCTTAAAAAAGTTTATGTACATTTTTTTTAATGAGTACCGTTTGTGTAATTTCTGATTATAGTTACACAAATTATATACATTTTTTTCTCAAAATCCACTGCAAATTTTTTTCTTTAAAACTGTTCCATGTAGAGAAAAAGAGACATTTAAAAGAATGGCACAGGTATCATTTTCATTCATGAATTTTCTGTGCTATTTAACACCACTAATTCCTTAATGAAAACTGCTCCAATATACATACCAAACTGCTCCAATAGGCATACCAGCCCTGAGGAAGACCACGACAGGATGGTCAAAACGTCGGCAACACAGCCTTCGATGCGGCGTCACCCGGACAGCCCAGATCACCCACATGCTCCAAAAGAGTAGATGTACAATAAAAAAATAAGAGTATTTTTTTTTGAAGTACGGGTAATTTATAAAAAATCTCAGAAACGGATCCAAATTTTTTCCTCAAATTTTCTCCTCGGAGAGAGCAAAGGACGTTTAAATGATGACGTGGCCATTTTCAGCAACCTCTCATTATTTTGGAAAATTGCAAAAAGTTAACATTGCAAAAATACAATATTGGTGATAGAGTTTTTTCCTTAATGTAATCTGTTCTGAAAAATTTGATCTTTAAATAATATAACATACAAATTAGAAAAGGTTTCTTCCCATAATTTTTGCTTGAAGAGATGCCATTTATAAACATTTTTTATCAAAAATTGTTCCAAATTTTTTCTTAACCCCTTTTTTTTCTTAGATAGAGCTACAGGTGCAGGTGACACATTTTTCAATTTTCTTTAAACTCTGAATTTTCGAAAGTTGCAGTTCAATTTTTTCGGCTTCTTGTGGCTGCAACATCTTATACCACTCTGCGTATTATATACTATTATCAGTATTAATTAATTTTTTATTCATGTGGTTCCTCCAGGTACCACAGTGGAAGGCAAAAAAAATGCCTTTGATCTCTTGCTTATAGGAAAGGACATAAGCCACTTCCCTCGACTACATCCAGAAATTAGTGTGTGCTCATGCAGTTGTTATCATCAGTGTCGTAAAGTCCTTACTGATGGTTGAGGCGGTGGGAGATGGAGCGGTGGGAGGAGTTGGTGGAAGATACCTGGTTGGGAAAACCCACAAGCCGACGGGTTGGTCGGTGCCGGACCTCGCCAACCAGGGAAGATCAATGTCACCTCCGTCATTAGTCCATCCTCCTCCTCAAAACATGTCATTAGTCCATTTACAGGACTAGATTTAGATTTATTTAGTCAAAAAAACATTAAAAACTGTATGTGACATATGAGAGAGAATATCATCTGCGCACGTTTTCTTGAGTTCCAGAATCCCTTCCCATCATTTTAACTATGAATACTTGAAAGATAAGTAAACGTTTAAAATAAATAAATAAATAAATAAAAATTTAAAAGGCGCGCGATTTGCAATATTTGAAAAAAACTTGACATTTTCGTTCCCGAGGTATAGAAAACTTATTTGCATCGGTAAACGAATTGCAGGTATGATTTATCTGCATTGCTAACAAAAAAGTAACTCGCCCTTACCTCTACTCCTACCATTACAAGCAAAAGGAGAGTTCAACAAAACGTGCGCATAGTGAAGCTACAATTACGTCCAGGAGCAAAGCATGGGGCCATCTCAACATTTACTCAATGGATTAGGGAAACTGGACAAAAACCTGATCGAGATGGGTCTAATGACCTTAGCAGTGGACGCGCCCGGAATTACTAATCAACCAATCAAATAATCAATAAGACTCAACAGGAAATATTTGTTGATTTATTTTACACATTCATACGAATGATGAAAGTAGTGTCACGCCATTTTTGTTCAAAATTATATAGACTTTTACTGTGTCTACACTTGTAACGTCTTGTGTCCAGGGAGGAAAAGACAAAACTATTTTTTTTCTTTTCGAGCTGTTTTGAATAACCCCACCCCAAAAAACTGTAAGCATATGGTCAATTCTCCCTCGACTACTATATTCGCGTGGTAAGTGTGGAAGTGAAAGGCTGCTGCAATTGACTAATAACGATTCGGTAGCGTCACTTTTATTTGCGCGCCGTTGCCAGCTCACTATCGTCGCGTATTTTGAAGAATGTCGAAAGAAGCTATGCGCTTCCCGATACCAGTCTACGTTCGAATTTTGCGGCGTGCATTTCACATGAAAATGCCGCTAACTGACATTTTCGGAGGATATGATTGATTGATTAGTGATTCCGACCGTGTCAACTGGTAAGATAATCATTCCCGTAAGTGTAGTGTATGTTTACATCGTGGGATGTAGAAGTGATCTTCCCCCGCTGGATGGATCTACGTCGCCTTGCGGGTACTTTCCTCAACCAGGTATTTCCCACCAGAGAGGCATCGCCCCAGCTGGGACGAGCTCTATGCTCTCGATAAGTATGATAGTGCATGCGAGTGCAAGCGTGTGTTAGTAAGGGGTGAGGATAGACCAAAGAAGAAAAAATAATTATCACACGCGGTTCGGGGGCCCGTTCGTTAGGATTCTGCTCCGGCATTCTCCCGCTGTTGATCGAAGAAACCACGGGAAACTACCGATCAGAGCAGCTAGCCGCTAGAACTCTCTCTAGCCAGCAGCGGCTGACCTTAGCTGTCTAGTTAAGCGTTTGCTAAGTGGAGGAGAAATGACGTCAGAGCGACGTGCCCCTCCGCCGGAAGGCTCTCCGAGAAGCAATGCGAGCAAAGGGGGTAGGAGGGAGGGATCGACAGCGTTGGCAGTGGGGCATTGCCTGCGTTTTAGGCAACTTGAGAGCTCATTTACACCCGTTAATTTTCTTACAATTTGGGAAAAAGTGTTTCTTATTGTATATACCATAACAATGACGAAGTGATTAGTGTATTCGAAAGAACTGCAGTATGTTAAAAAGTTTAACTACAGAGGCATTATGCACCTTGGCAACCCAGAGAAACCCGCGAGATGAAAATAATTCCTGAGAATTGACAGATAGCTTGCAATCATGAGATGAGTAAAGGATTTTGTAGATAGGAGATTATGGGAAAGGTACTGAAAACCACGATGATTTAAAACATTCTCAAACAAAACTGTTCATGAAATAACGAAACCTGAAGTCCAAATTCTTCCAACTGACCCCTTCCGGGTATCTATTTGCATATATTTGCTAACATTAATTATTGGTTTGAGACAACTAAAATTGTTATATTATACAACATTGTGTAAAATATTATTGTACTAGAATGTTAAAACTGTCTTCACATGTTTAAACAAGATCGCCTAATCTACTCGAATGTTAAAACTGTCTTTAATTCTTGTTTCAAGAAGATCGCCTAATCCTTCTGTGGCGCATTAATAGTGTGTTTATCAACATGGTGAGAAGTTTGCGACAAACATGTTCAGTAAGCGGCTGCTCATGTTTTTCAGACCACTGAAATCGGTCTTTCTCCAGAGGGACAAAATAAGGTACCTTGTAAGAGATGCTGAAGAAAATCAGAAGTATTTCAGCTCGGTTGGGTGTTGCGAAGAGTACACATGGAAAGTTATGCACAACAGTCTGAATCTTTTTAGATTTTGTAACGTGAATTACTTGCAACCACAAGGCAGAAAATTTAGTATTGATTTTTCATATATCTCAAACTTGTAGTATTATTCACAGACGATGAACAGTTTATCAGAGGTGAAATAATTTAATAAAAATAGTCACAATCAGAAATAATCAGGTAACAAGTCTTGCAGTCAGCTCTCTATAATACGAGCCGAGCCACGCCTTACAGAGGAAAATACGGCATCTATTGCGATAATTTAAAGTCGTGTCAATAAGTCAATGAGTTCAGTACTGCCCAATGTTTTGGAAAGACCAAATTAACACAATTCAATTGCTTGTTTGTTTCTGTGTAATTTTTCTATATAAATAAATGTATTTATTTGTTTTACAACTAATGGTTTAGTTACCATATTTGTTTATAACGTTCCATGTTTTTACGAATACATGATTACAATTTACGTATCTTTCAGATTCAGCTTCTGCGTGCTTTTGCAGTTGAACATTTCAAAATCCCATAGAAGTTTATTAGACACAATATATAATGTGCTAATAAATCTCCTACTTCGACTAATAAATCAAACAATCAAAATAGTCATAATTGTGGAAGAGAGTTATCCATATTATAGTAACCGGAACGGGTCGTCCTAATGTACTACTTTTCATACTCTTAGATAAGTCGGATCATTAGGCCGGCGTATCCGACTTCTTTAACTACGCTCCGTGAAGTCACGGAGGTTAAACATTTCAATACATCGTGGGTTCCTGGTTGGATGACCGTCTGGGAACCCCGGGAACTAACGGCCCAGAGCCCCTGGCCGAAGCAATGACTAACTACTTCTGACGATAACTGACTGGATTAAAGGAGGATTACTCCACACGTTTAATGCCAGTAGGTGATTATGTAATAGAACATTGTTACGAGTTGTATCATGGCAGACTCCACACGTCAGGATCTTTGCAATGCATAAGAACTGTTGCCAAAACGGCAATGATCGAAACGATTTATGCTAATAAATCGTTTGCTAATCACGGCAAAGTCGAAGGACAAAACTCAAAGCTTGTAGTTTGTTATAATTTAACGTCAATAACCCCTTATGTAGCATTCGTTAATTCATTTTCTGCTGCGGTGTGGTCATTTTAATATTACGTACGTTGCTTACTGTGAAGTTTAAATCGGAATTTTCATACAAACGCCGCATTATTTTTGTTTAATTTAGGTGTTGTTTCTTGCGACTACGTGAGTTCACCGCAGTATATGTTTTCGTAGAAGTAAATAGTCTTCCTCAGACTGTTAAACACAAACGCTGAAATGCGAACGTAGTAACTCCGTGTCGTAGTAACAAGAAAGGAACGAAGTATAAAAGAAACAGGTAGTTCACCGATTTCAACGTTTGTAAATGCGGAAACTATCGGCGAAATCGTCCAATCAATCTCCTCAATAGTTCTTTCGTTATTTCTCAAGTAAACTTTTCCTAATAGCAAAAGTTTAGAGTTGTCGGCATATTTTAAGAACACACTTACCCCAGGATACTATTTACCGTGTAAAAAAATATTAACCAAACTAGATATTTTTTTAAATTTATGAGCAGGAGAATAGTTAAGGAACGTGAAAGTGATTTTGTTATGTAAAAAGATAACATTATGACCACTTAATGATAACTTTTTTATTTAACCTGTACTGGATTCAGACGCTACGAGATATAATAATTAATAGTACATTAATTTTTTTCACATATTTTCTTTAGAACAAATCGTCAAAGTAAGAGCTGTGAACTGTGGTGGAGCCATCGCAGTTGTAGTCGAAACAAGCATTCGCTAACCGGAAGGAACAACTTTCGAAACTCTTACTGGACAATTTGTATATCCACGGAATACCTACTGCAGGTCTCCAAACTTAAGATAACATTCATCTGCTGTGGCCAGGGAACTGACATTCCGCTGGTGCGTTGGCGCTGAAACAGGTGGCCGAGAAGGGAGGAGGCGTGACGGTGGAGGGGAGGTGGGGGAGGAAGGGGGGTTGAGTGGGGAGGGGGCGGGGCACCCTACGTCACCCAGTGCGCACGGCTGCAGGGACCGCCCTGGAGGTCGTCAGCCAGACGTCTCCGAAGTTGGACTGTCGGCTGTCCGAGCCAAGGAGGGGGCGCGTGGAGCGGAGGGAGCGGGGGCGGGGGGGGCAGCGTTCCCCGCCGCGGCGGCTGCCGTAACGCTGGGTGCGGCGCGACAACAACCGCGTGTGCAATGCAAGGTAAGTGTGCTTTATGACAGAGAACGCTTTACAAGGAGAGTGCGGCGCTGCGCGGGCGCGGGCGGGCGGGCGCGGCGGGCGGCCGCGCGCCTCGCGCGCCCCGCCCCGCCCCGTGGGCGTGGGTCCGCCGTCGCCGCCGCCGCTGTCTACTCCGCCCCGCTGCCTGCTGCGCTGCCTGCTGCGCCGGTGGCTGCTGCTGCGAGGGCTGCGGGGGAGTCGCGCCAGCCCCGACCGAGGCTCGCTCGCCTCCCTGCGCGCACGCACACAGACAGTTACTGCCAGGCGTCAGTGGACACATTTTCGCAAATGAGCATTGTGGCAATGTTACAAAAAAACAACAAAAACAGTTTCTTAAGCAAACTCCTACGTACAAGTCATTCAAAATAATTGTTACAACATTCTAGAACATGTTAAATTAGATTTTCCATCATATGTTTATTGGCAAAAGGGGATCGTTTTTGACATCTTCCAACATGCCCTAGAACTTTGTAACATTTATTCTGAACTTCTTGGATTGGACCATGTGCCTGTATTCAACCAGTTTTTAAAAATACAAACGTTCTAACACTCTACACCTTAACACATGGTATTGGCATTTTTCCTTTTATTACATGCGAAAGAAAGGAGAATAACTAGCTCTTTCGTTGGGTTAATGTCTGGCGTAATCGTTTCTTGGTACTTGGACACAGGGTGATATGATGTGAAATTCCTTTCGATAGGTGCTGGTGGCAGATGGCGGGTGGAAGATGGTGGGTGGTGGATAACGGATGACGGGTTATGGATCACGGAAGGCGGGTGTCGGTTGTCCTATGTTGTGCAGGATAACGGAAGGTGGGTGATGGTTGGCGAGTGTCGGATGTCAGATGTATGATGATAAGTGGTAGATGCTCGTCGACGGGTATCAGATGGTCATGACATATGGATGTCAATAGATAAGTGGCGGATTGCAGATGACTGACGGCGAATGTTGAATGACGCACATCGCTTGATGTATGACGGATGACGGGTGTCTGATGCAGGGTGACGGTAGTGGCTTAGTGGCAGGGTGGTAGTGGATGGTGGCTGGCGGTTGCCGGTTTGCGGAGATATTCTTTATAACGATGCCAGCGCCTAAGGCTTCTGGTCATAACTGGAAATGAGCGAGTTATTTGGTGGATAGATGATTATAAAATATGTTATGAAGAGAAATGGAGGAATGAGAGAGGCAAGGGAAAAGGGAGAACCTCGAGGAAACCTGCCACAAATCCACTTAGTCACCGCAAATTCTACCTACCAATCAGGGACCAGATATTCAAAATTGCATATGTGTAACATTCATTATGTATTTTCCACTGCATTGTCAAAACGTGATCATCTTCGACCCACGTACGTACTCGATAAGTTTGTAATTTTGACAATCGAGACTCGCCATCTGAGACCCGACTTTTTCATCTGTCATGGATGAATCTTTATTTCATTTATATAATTTTTCTCATTGAAACCGCCATGGATTGTCCAGGGACAATTTCAACCCCGGGCCCAGCGGTGGAAAGGGAGCAGGCTACGGCCCCGGTCGCCGGTCGAGTAGCAGAGAATGGAAGGCGAATGATGTAAGTGAAGGGGCTCGTCACCGGAGGTACCGCCAGTCAGGGGCAAGAATCCCTCCCCTGAGAGCGTAGGCTTCCGCGGCCGGCCATATAAGTCAGTATTTACCAGGCTGTCCGGGTGACACCGCGTCCATGGCGAAGGTGCCGACGTTTCGGTCGCCATTCTGCGACCTTCCTCATTACGCCCTGAAGAAGGTCGCACCTTCGCCATGGACGCGGCGTCACCCGGACAGCCTAGTAAATAATCCCTCCCCTGCCAAGGATTCTACTGGAATGAATTCTGAGATTTGGGCAGACAAATAGGAGCTCATTCTTTGTGTTGACGGTCTGGCTCTGTTAACGGATTGTGAATAAAATGAAAGGGCTTTGTAGAACAAGGCGCTATCTCACATTGACCTAGTTCTGTGATATTGAGGGTTTTACTAGAACTTTCATAATACAAATCAGTGCACTTAAACGCTGTAAACTTACATATAAGTCCATACTGGATTTAAATAACATATTACTTTAACATAATAATATTAAATATTTTATTTAATGCTAATAACTCAATTTCACCAAAACATGTGAGCTCGCCCCTTGTTCTTCAAAGCCCTTGAATTGTATGGAGGTTTCCGAGTGCAGGTGTTTGAGCCCTCACCTGTCGGTGCAGCGGTAGAGGTCAGCGACGCCGGTGTAGACGCAGGCGGCGACGGAGGAGGCAGCGGGGGCGGCGGGCGAGCCTCGCGCGCCGGCGCCCGCGCCCACGCCCGTCCTCGGCGCCAGCAGCAGCGCGCTGCTCCGCGACACGCCTGCGACATGCGCACGCCCCCTCGTTCGCAGCCCCCACCACTCCGCGCAGCAACGTTGACCTTGGGGGCGCTCAGAGAATTCTGGGGTGGGGCTCGACTGTTTTTTGTAAGAACCAAACTAGTCCAAATTCCAGTTTTTTTGAGAAGGCGCCAAAAACTTCGTAGCGTAGACGTGCATAGCAATGAATTTATTATTTTCCCCCGCCTTATATCTTTTAATGTGTTTGGGACTTACCGAAAGCAAATGTCCCAGCAGGTGGAGCCAGTGGTAGGGAATAACTTGGTGACATATATCGAAATATGGAATTTTGGACTTGTTTGGTTCTTGTAAGAATCCCCTCAATTTGAACGTATTTCAATAAGAACACGTCAACTGTGTTTTTATAAACAACTACATTTTTATAAACCTTTATTAGATTAATGAAATGGGTGTTAGCAGATGCAATGAATAAACGGAATTTGTAGAAGTCAGGGGATATTATATTTATGATATAGATGAAAAATTATATAGATTTCTAATATTTCCCCATTATATTATTGTTCCTATAGGTACAATATGTGATCAAAAGTATCCGAACACGTCCAAAATGGTGTTATGGTGTGGTCATGTTTTTCATGGCTTGCCTCTTGTTGTTTTGTGTGGCACTATCACGGCACAGGCCTACGTTGATGTTTTAAACATCTTCTTACTTCCCTCTGTTGAGCAATTCGGGGATGGCGATTGCATCTTTCAATACGATCGAGCACCTGTTCGCACTGCATGGCCTGTGGTAGAGTGGTTACACGACAATAACATCCCTGTAATGGACTGGCCTGCATAGAGTCCTGACTTGAAACATATCGAACACTTTTGGGATGTTTTAGTACGCCGATTTGTGCCATGGCTCACCGATCTACATTGATATTTCTCCTCAGTGCAGTACTCCGTGAAGAATAGGCTGTCATTCCCCAAGAAATTTTCCAACACCTGATTGAAAGTATGCCTGCGAGAGTGGAAGCTGTCATCGAGGCCATTTTGAATTTTAGCATTACTGATGGAGGTCGCCACGAACTGGTAAGTCATTTTCAGGACACTCTTGATCTCATAGTGTAGGTATATCATGCATGATACGAGGTACAATTTACATTTCTTGGCAAAATTGATATCTCATCAGTGTTTCAAACAGACTTTTATAATAGTTTTCGTTGTCATATGTAAACGAAACCAATTTGTTTAGAATTAGACCTTGATAAAAGAATTAAATAATTAAAATATACTGTTACATACGCTTTTAACACGTCTGTGCTTTCACGTTTCTAAGTCTACACATTCTTTATCATTTGCCCTCACCCCAAGGTTTGTGGAGTCACAACTTTTTCTGAGGATGTGACAGCTAAAGAATTGGGGTGAAGGGGCGTCTGGGTAAATCATTGCCACACGCCGCTCAACACGCGCCTAATTACAGGGCCATTGACTCTGACTATATAGAGTAACAGCACAAGAAGATTAAGAACACCTTCATAGTTTTCTCAAAATTCTTGGGCTACATTCATTATGTGAAACTCAGTGAGCAATTAGCATAACTCTATCTTGCCTAAAAATGGACAATTTTTAATTTGTTATATTTTTTGATAATTTATTTCCAAACAACGATTTTGTTCCAGTAGTAACGTAAAAATTGCAATACTTTGGTAATGGTCATATACTAAAATCAGGACTAGCCAATCGATTGTGTGCCTTCCTGAACGTGTTTAAGACCAACAAAATAAAAAAGTGCCGATTATTGCAATTCCAATATCAATAAGATATTTTCAGTTTATTGTTTAAATATAAAATTAGGGGAAAACAAATAATCTTCATTCTAGCCCTCACCATTAGAAAGCATCAGCTCATAATTCTGCAAATTTGAAGGAATGGGAAGATTCCGATTCTTATTTTTCAAATTTTGTGAAGTGGCTAATTTTGGTGTCGTTATCGTACAATACTGGCGCATTTAGTTTCCTAAGAAGAACCTACCAATTTTTTAAAACATATTCTTCGTTTTGTTTTTAGGTTATTCGAAGTAGTGTCGGTTATCTTCTCTCTTTAGTCTTCAGTCTCTTTACTCCGAGAGGAAAATCACTCGAAACGATTGTATGTTTGTAATGCATACTATGCTTCTGCCTTCCTCTAAGCATAATGGAAAAGAAGTCCAAATGAAAGTTTGAGATGAAGAAGACCAAGAAGGCAAGAAAAAGAGGAATTTTAGAAAGAATTTCAGAAAAAACATATTGCATTAGAATTAGTATTGTATTAATTTCCTCGAAGACAATTTTTACTTCAAACTTAACAATTAACTTTGAACAATGTTTTAACGCGGTTAATTGTTTTTCAAACTACTGTTAACTTACGGAGTAACTTTAATTTAGAGTCTTTTGATGTTAAATTTTCCCGCCCAGATCAAACATCTACCAAGGAGGCTGAAGCTACTCGTTACATCTCGAAAACTTGTTTCTCGTTGCGCGGTGCAGTTTCGCGTCCATCGTTCATTGCGAGTCGTCCGCGGTCGGCAAAGGAGAAGGAGCACGGGCTTGGGGCGAGGGCGGCGGTCCTCTGGGAGGGACGGTTCTCAGACTTTCTGGGAAATTAATTACGTTGCAAGCGCATTGTCTACACCACCGTCACTCCAGACAGTCTCTGTGCCCACGCCACAGAGCGAGTTCTCTGGAGCATTCGCGCTAACTGGTTAACCAATTGGACATGTGAAAAGAGCTCGAAAAATAGCGTAAATTTTATGAGGTGAGTTATGTCTTACGATGTGGTTTAGTTTCTGTTTATATAATTGAAATATAAGATCTAAGAAGACAGAAAATTATCCAAAACTTGAAGTGCCTACTTCAAATACTCTCAGGACGAAACGAAGTATAAATATTAAAAAAAATTGTTGGGAGGTTCTTCTTAGGAAACCTAATGCATCAATACTGTACGGTAACGACCCCAAAAGTAGCCATTTCAAGCACAAAATTTGAAAAATAAGAACGCTTTCTCCCCCTATTTTTAACTCTTGCAGTTTTTGGAAATCCAGAACGTTCAACGAAATTGATATCTGCGCCATTCTTTTAAGCGTTCCACGTTCTATTTTTGGAAAAAGTAAAGAAAAAGATTAGAGAACTTTTTACGAAAGATTTTTCTTTACATTGCCTTAACATCAAGTAAAAATTACTCGAAACCTACTCGTTCTTTTAAACATTGTATATTACCTTATTTAGAGATTTGTATTTAGAAGAGATTTATATTTGAGCGAAAAATCTCTATCATCAATCTTGTACTTTTGTAATGTTATTTTTTGCCAAAAATACGACCAGCATCACTTTTTGTACCGTCACTTGCTACAATTTACAGAAAAACGGAGTCGTTTTGTAAAAAAACACATTTAAAAAAGTGCCTGTATTTCACACCAAATTATGTGAAAACGACTCATATTTCCGAAAAATGTACAAGACCTTATTTCAAGATTTGTCTTTAAACGGAATTCAGTACCGAAAAATCTCTGTCTTTAATATTGTAAATGCAGGCGCCGAAAAAATTCTGAACTTTCACAATTTTCCAAAAATCAGAGATATTAACGAAAATATCAATCTTTGAAGCGCTCATTTCGCTATTCGAATCGCCGATAATCGAATTTTTGGTAACGAAGACCCGCGTACCATGAATTCTAAGTACGCGTGTTAGAGGAAATAATTTACTTCATATTGGAAAACGATTTATACACTTTTTCGTTACCAGGGCTCGGCAATAAGTTTTTCTGTCGAAAACTCGCCGTTTTCTGGGGCATGAACTTTCTCCTCTTTCAAAGTTAGGTGAGAAAGTAAAACATGGTTTATTCATTCATCTGAATGCTACGTTATCCTTCAGTATGTTCCAATTCTCATTTTTAAAAAACTGTCTAATGTTCATATAATTATTTAAAAACTTCATACCGTTGATGGATTGAGTCACACTGTTGAATTTGCACGTGATGTTAAACATATTCTTACGTAATCGTTTGTTAGGAAGACAGTGGGCCCTGGCGGCCGTACGTGGAATTATTGTTAGTATATAAAGCGGGCAGTAGATAGCGGGCGCTACGCTGTGTCGCAACCCTTCGGCGCGAAGTTTACTGCACGTCAAATGAACGCGAGGAATGAGGAATGTCGTCATTTTGTCGTTAACCACGATGTGAAGCTGGATGTTGCCCTTGCGCACTTTCTGACGGTCATACTATGTAGAGAACTAAGTTTTCAACGAATTCTATCGAAACTTGAGACTTTTTTGTTTGAAAAAGAAACATGTTATTTTTGTCGAACTTGTTTATTGCGGTTAAAGCAAAATAAATTAGGTCACTGGTTACACAATGACATTGAGATATTTCTTGTGAGACACTCAGGTACAATATTTACATATATCCAAATGTTCTTTTATTAACTTACGTTAAAATGAGTGTTTTCCAGGGCTGAAAGTGAATCCATTTTGCTAATGAACATGTAATTGGGAATTGCATGTAGCGGAGTTGTATGTATTTATACACGTCATTTTTGCCGCTGAGACTTCGGCAACTCCCTTCGGCAGTTACATGAAATCTCCTTGACTGCGTATGTAGATAGCGCGTTAGGCTGTGTCGCAACCATGTGACTACGAAACGTCCGTGCATAGAGAGTTGCCTAAACTAAGGGGACTATGACATGTGTACATAACTCGTCATATAAATTTTAGTGGAAAAAGTCATTATTTTTTACTCCTCAACATGACCCAGAAAGAGATATTTCTAATATGATTCCACTACATTCGTCAAAACTCAACAAAAACGTAAAAAGGCTATAAACAAAATCGAAAGGAACATAGTAGCGTCTCTAAAGCATAGGAAAGAGCAGTCATTTGAATAGTATTTGTCATATGTTTGACATTTGTCATGCTAATTCTCATTTTGTTCACTTTCATCTGATAATTTTATCTTAAATTTTTATGTTCGCACATATGTTTAGATGAAGTATATATAACGTTCATTGATGAATGTTTGACGAGTCATAATTGGAACATCTCTGACTGTTTAATATAGAAATCAGCTCATTGAGAAATGAAGACACCAGAATTGGCAGCAAAAACTCAATCTGAATGGCAGGTAATGTTATAATAATACTTTAAGGACAGGAAATTACTATTCAGTTTTGATTTTTCAATAAATATTTCGAATCATGTTCGACATGATAATTATCTAAGGTTTTCAAACATATATAAATGGGATCTCTTTTATGATATCATCAAGAACTGTTTCTCCCTACCTAGTGTCGTCACTTCTACCCGTGGTAGATTCTCCGAGGTGGAAGGGATGGCGGGGGAGGCGGAGATGACGGGATAAAAGGGGGACGGACAGTCTACACGCCGATTGTTGGCGCGAGTATTGCAATCTGGACAGTACTAAAACTGTCGCTGTACACTAGTAGAACTAGAAATAGGTGGCTAAAAATGGCTCATTCAGGAAAAGATGAATATAAACGGGTAAGAGGAGGGTCAATTGCTGATGCTATTATTTTACAATGTTAATTTTTATTGCATGAGCACATGTTTTGAAAGCGAGCGACGTTAGGAGGGAGTTTTCCAATTTGTACGAATACAACATGATAAAAAAATTGCATGCACTATTTTTTGTTTTTGTATAAGAGCATTGTAAGCAAATAAAACTTAATTTTGCAAAACAACTTTCTTGTGACGTGTCGGGTTATTGACATCTGTGCGAGAAAACTGTGATTGGCTGTTCCGTTTATCTCTATCTCCCCACGATTCTCTCACTGCGATGTGTGATGACGCAATTATACGGGCCGAAAAATGATAATACGTCATCATTTGTACCGTAAAATGCCCTGTTATGAACGATTTCTTGTAGCAGAAAAGGTCGGCTGGTATAAAAAAAGTTAATTATAGCCGCAGTTTGATGTTTCATTGAAGATGAAATTATGAAAAGCCATATCATAGTTTAATGGTATATACTAATACTGAAATTTAAATTAAAATAGATATATTTATATACAAGTTTTAAGTGTGTATGAAAATAAAAAGAATAGAAAATAATCAATGAATATTTTAATGTTGAATTTTCATACTAAAAAGAGTTTGAAGAAGTAATTTATTTAACTTCATGAGGAGCCCGCCAGTATTGAAATGGATTCTGGAGGCTGACTAAGAAAAATGATTAACTGTTGTTGATTAATATATACAAATAAAAATGCTGGTAAGGTTACCAGCATTCGTTATACACGCACTGAGAGAAATGTTTTAGTACACTGTACACTGTACATATTTAGTACGCGTTCGTATAGTAAATTCAATTATACGTGTGGTGATATTCGCTAAACATTATCAAGTTTGATTATTAAATCGTACAATTGAAAAACGTAATAATAGAAAGTGAATTGTCAGTAGTAATATAGTACTTGTTTCATAGTTAAAATAATTCGGTGATTTCTGCTTCTCATGTCGCCACAGTTATCACGTGAAGGGCGGGAAATCTACGTTGTATATAGTTGTATGCGCTGCATAAACACTGTTTAGTATTTTATTCATTTTAAATAATTACGTATGAGTTGTATTCTATACTAATGGTAGAAATACTACCAATAGTTTACAATTCTATAGCACAATGCCGGAAACCAGCGTCAGAATAGTAGGAGTTTGTCAGGTAACAGAAGTTAGGAGAATTCCAGCCCACGAGGCCTTTCGGATTGGAGACCGTCCTGGGTTCCCAGTTGCTACCTGTCTAAAGAGGGAGAAAGTAAATTTTCCCTGTCACGGTTCTGCTAAATAAGTACGCACTTAGTAAGCAGCGTATAGTAAAAGCGGTTATGAAACCCATTCTTTTTGTTTAGTAATTTTCTTTGCATGTTAAGTAAATATTACTAGATGCATTAGTATTATAATACCTGAACGCTTATTTTACATGGCAAGCTGTCAACAATTTAAGAAACCCAACCATTCAGACGATTCGTTTAGTAATGAACAATAAATGCAATTTGCATGGGTTACGACACGATGAACAAGCTAGCACACATGTATGTGTGTAAAACTACTAATGAACATGAGGCTATATGTGCATTCTTAGGATTCACTAATAGCAACAACAACAGTAGGTTTCAACAGCAGCAGCTTTCCTAAACGCGACTAAGCACTTTGTTCTACCAAAATGAATCATACCGCGTAGTTCAATCTATTACTTGATTAATTGAATGGACTAAATATTTATCTCCGTGCGAGTATACCGATTTGAATGATTCGTAATTTACAATAAACGTAGAATAGAAGAAGATGTTTAATGTTGCAAAAAATCGATGTTCAGATTTTGATGGAAACACATGTTTTGGTGGACCCCGACACTCGAAAATTGTTCTTACTTTTTCGCCCGTACTTACGTAGTAAAGAGAAAGATTTGTAATGCTCGACGGAAATAGAGATGTTTTGGTCGGTCTGCCTGCTTGTCCGTCTGTCTGTTCATCTGCCAGTCCTTTCTGTCCGTCCGTTCCAAACTCTATACGTCAGTCTGTTTGTGGTCAACGCTAGCGCCTAAACCATTCAGACAATTTTCTCCGAAATTGTTGTTCCCTGATCAATCTAGAAGAACTTGAGACACCGCGTGTTTGAAACAGAAATTTTGATTTTTCCTGATACTTTAATCGAAACCTCACACTTTCAAAATTTTCTAAGAAATTACTGCAAATGTTTTGATTCACCTTTTTCCTCGGGTAGCATAAAAGACAATTAAAAATGGCATAGGTCTTATTCTCCTTGACATTTCGGAATTTGTGAAAATTGAAAAATTTAAAAAATTTTCGATGTCTTACTACAACTACAATGTTGAAGATATAATTTGTTTGAAATGTTTACCAAAGAAAGATCTTAAAATAAGTTCATGTACAACTTTTAAAAAATGAGCAAAATTTTGCGTGAATTATAGGCACTTAATAATACTTATTTTTTCAAAAGCATCCCAATTTTTTCTCTTAATATTGCCTCGACTGTAGCAAAGGGGCGTTGAAAACTAGCTCTGGTCCCATTTTCAAAGAACGGTGTATTTTCGAAAACTGGCAAACATTAACATTTCAATAGTACAATATCGATGATTAAGATTTTTTTCTTTTTAGAATAAAACTAGATGTAAAGTTATGTGCGATTTTTTTAAAAGAAAATGGTTTTAGCGTTATTTTTGCTTGGAGTTAATGCAATTGATAAAACATTTTTTAAAGGCTCCAAATTTTTCTTAATTTTTTTCGTCAGAGCTAAACGGCTTTGAAATGGAGCATGCCTCATTATCGTTGAACTCTCAGAATTTTCGAATTTTGCAAATTGGAAATAATTTCGGAAAGTATCTGGTTTTGGTGCTGGGGAGTAATTTTCTATCCATCAGGAGCTCAGTGCGTTTTGTGCGGAAGTTTGTTATAAATTGTGAAAAATCGTCATCTATTCGTAGTGTATTATAAACAGGAGTTCCGTAAGAAGTGTTACAAACTCCTATGACATGTGGAATGGTCGAAAATGATAACGTTTTGCCAATGAACATGAAGTAGGAAGTTGTATACAACGAACTTATGGTTATAAGGATGCGTAAACATTATAATAATGTATAAATATGCGGCATTTGTCACTTTTTTTGGCAACTTGTAAGCACCTTATTTCAGGTACATAAAATCCCCTTGACTGCGTTAGAACGTGACCTGCCAAACATCTGTGCATAAGGAATTGCCTAAAAGAAATCAAAGAACAAGTTCAAATGTTACTTGAAATTTCCCACTACATGTTCATTGCGGAAAAGATTTTTACCCCCCCCCCAATATGCTCTAGGAGTTTGTAACAATTTTGAGACACGGTGTAGAGAGTGGGTGATCTGGCCTGTCCGGGTGACGCCGCGTTGAAGGCTGAGTTGCCGACGTTTTGACCATCCTGTCGTTGTCTTCCTCAGGGCTGGTGTGCTGGTGCTGGTGAGGAAGACCACGACAGGATGGTCGAATCGTCGGCAACTCAGCCTTCGACGCGGCGTCACCCGGATAGCCCAGATCACCCACATGACTCTCGCCGCGGAAGCCTACGACTTCATGGTGTAGAGAGGATGTGCACAACGAACATGACCAGCACTTACCCATCTCCTCGGAAGAGGTGGCGAAGTCGGAGGCGGCGCCGGAGGGGGCAGCCCAGAGGTCGGGCAGCGGCGCCAGAGGAGGCAGGGCCGGCAGCTGCGCCAACGCCGACGGAGCCTGCTGTTGCTGCTGCTGCTGCTGTTGCTGCGCCTGCTGCGCGGCCTGCGCCAGCTGCGCGAGCTCAGGCAGCGCGGGGCCGCCGCCCGCGCGCTTGCCGTAGCGGGAGCCCATGAAGAAGCGGTCTGCGCGCGGCAGCATCACGCCGCTGCGCCCGAAGCGCCCGGCCGCCCACCCGCCGCGGCCTGCGCACGCAGCAAGCACCGCGCGCCGTTGAGGGGGCGACAGAGGGCCTTGGACGGGACAGAGGGGCGTGACTCAGATGGCGCACACTGGTTATCCTCACTCTCGCAATGACGCTCACACACCAACTCTTACGCTCATACACAATTATTCTCGCTCACATATTCATAATTTTACTTACACCCATACTCACAGTCACACTTGCATGTACACAGCCTCACTCATACCTTCATTTACAATTACAATTACCTTCTTTATCTTTGAAAGTTATTCATTCTTTACTTCACTGTTTTATTCAATTTTATTCTGTTAGCTGTGACAAATATTTTGAAATCTCGGTTGATTGGTAGGCAGTGTGGTGGCCAGTGCTGACTTGGCCTGGCCGACTGACCATGCTATACAGGGATGTGAGTTATGAACGTTGTTTCGGTAAAGCGAATGTATACCTGTGTGTGTTTTCGTATTTAAATCGAGTAATCGAGAACATGAACAGTGCTCTATTTTTAATTTAAAAAATCGCCTATCTTAGTACGTCGTGTGATCAAATGCACGTGTGGATTTGAGGCATACGTGTAGAATGAATTGTGATTAAAGATGAATAGTGCTCAGTTCCTTTTCAATATCAATTTTGTGAATATAATTCCAGAAAAGTTAATAATTAAGGAGCTAGGAAGATCATTACCTGATCTAAAGTTAGAATAAAAACAAACCAGTCACGGTAAGAACTTCTGCATAAATGTTATGCGGATGTGAAGTTACAAACAAACTTGTGTTGTTTCTCGTGCTTGGTTTTTGCTGCTTCAAGCAGAAATTATCTATAAACTACGCTTACAAAAATTAACATGGCCTTACTTAAAGATCTATTTTTATACAACATATTTTATTTGAGAAAATAATCTCTATAATCAATGCGTAATCTTTTCAATCATTATCATTAGCGATATTAATTATTTGCAATTTTCAAGAATACAGAAACCGTAAAAGATGAGCTATTTTTTTTATCTTTTTTTACATACGAGGAAAAAATTAATGGAAAAATGTTTTTGAGAAAATATTTGTTTAAAAATTGCGTCGACTTCTGGCAAAATTCCGCGAAAACTACCTATATTGTCGTAAGATTTTGCATGGACTTATTTTACGATGACTGTAGAACATATTTTATTAAAGAAAAATTTCTATTTTATAGTTTCACAAAGATAGCGAAAAGAAATTGTTTTGCAATTTTTGAAATTCCATAAATCTGAAGGAATTTAACTATCATAATTGATTGATTATATAATATGGGACAACAATATTGCACCTCGAATATGCTATTTTTAAGCGTTTTATGCCATCAAATATAAAATTGAATAAAACAAAATAGATCCAGTTTTGAGAAAATTTTGAAAATGTTGAGGCTTCGTGTAATGTGCCCTTCACTCATGTATAGTTAGGTTTCAACATCGGATGTCATGTGTCCATCGCGATCTAAGGAAATTCTCATAGAAGTGTCAGTATTGTCTACCAACGGTGTTAGAAAAGTATGGAGGCAGAGGCATCTGAAATGGGTTTTAGGGCTTGGAGAGTAATATTATAATAATTTGCTTATCGATTTCTAAATATAATATTCAGAAGAATATATTTTGGTTGTCTCTTTCAGCCGAAACATTCAAATAAGCTCTAGATTTTCTTTATCAGTGTCTTGAGTTCCATCTTTATAAAAATTCTGTTCGCGGCTGGTTGACACTTTTTAATTGGGATGGGTTGAACAATGTCAATCAGCCCCATCGTCTCATTCTGGAGAGACACGTACAGAGAGAGACAGAGGCAGACATAGACGCAGAGAGAAACAAACAGAAAGACGGAAAGTGAGTGAAACTTAGGCAGAAAGACGGAGGACGGACAAACGGAAAGACAGGGACAGTATGAGAGACGGAGAGAGAATGGGAGGGGAAAGGAGAAAGAGCGAGATGCAGGGCAGGACGTCTGCCGGATTCCACTAGTTATTTATATTAAAGTATTACCTTTACAATATAAGTATGAAATTATAATTCATGTCAGTAGAATGTACTCGTATTTAATCCATATCTGAGACCAGAACGTTTTTGTTCTATTTCATTTTTTAAATATGTATTTTAGTGCAATAAAAGCTTAACATATATTATGAAAAAAGAATTAGTTTCCCGTTTCTATTTAACGACCCACTGGGCAGAGTTTTTATATTTTAGTAAAAAAATGCGTGGCGCGACAGCTCGTGAACGGGCTTAGACCTACCGGCGACGTCCCTACCTCGCGACCATGGGTTAATGGGGTACGTGTGGTTAGCACGTAGACATCCCCACGTCGTATTTCGGTCTTCTCAATGTCACAATTACCCCAAAATTTTGGTAAAAGATACATAGAGGCAGAAATTGATGTAGAGCTTATTGTATTACTAGTCTCTACCTGGTCCTAATCATCGCATTCTGACTGATCATGTACATCAAAATTACGATTATTGATGAGAAGTTCTGCTTGTGATTAAAGTTGTCTGCCGGAAAGTTTAGCAGAATTATTGCAGAATTCGTCCTCAAAATCATGGTCACATTCATTTCCAGCGTCATCAGTTGCATCTATAAAAATATCAACTTGACCAACATTATCATCTTCAACTACTGTTTCAAGTTATTCCAAAATCTCATAAGTACTCAGCTCCTTTGGATAGTTCTCCGCAGACCTGCGCAGGAAAACATATCGGAGACACAATTGTATATTTTTAATTTCTTATAATCAAATGACTAATCAAAGTAAAATAAGTTTATTCTAATGAACCTAGTAGCACGCTTCTCGGGTAACTGATTCAATTTAATTTCAATTTTGCATTATTGATCTGAAAATAGTGTCTTACTACGATATCTGCCCAGTTCATTCACGACTCTGATAAGTTTGTACCTGTACTACACTCGGTTATAGAGCTGTAACTAATTGGTCATTACTTACAATTGCTTATTATAGTTTTGTACACTAATTTTTATTATTATATAATACAACGAATTAAAATAATAACTATACTTGCAGTGTGGTTTGCCGCACGCCATAAGAATTCGTTTTCTTAGAGCACAGCGTCTCCAGTCACTTTGCACCAACAATTCCCAAAATTCAACGGTCACAAAAATACACTACTAAACGGTTTGAAACGCAAGTGATACCAGTTACTAAATTGATAATATATTTCTCCATAAAAATTATTTTTGAGATGGGTTCTTAACAACTCTTTGGGCAGACTTGGATTAAGAATAGTGTGTAAGACTCGAAAGGATAAGGACGTGAAAGAGAATTGGGAGGTAGAACTAAAGTCTCTTTAAATAGTGGTTGCGGTAAAAAGTGACACTGACTTATAAAAAGAACAATGATACTGAAAAATAGATTGGCGGCTCAAAAGCTGTCTGCTCGTCGGCCCGTCTGTCCGACATGGTCAACGCTAGCGCTTAAATTGTTCAAACGAAGCCTGAAGATGAAGGATATTTAACCTCGAAACGTTGAACATAGAGAATATTGGGTACAGAAATAGTGTGTCCATTCAACAATAATTTGTATAGTGGAAATAATTTCCTAATATAATTATTTTTACAATACAACTATTACGCGATCTTCATTAATGTTTTTACATTTATTAGGAATATACATGCTCGAGTTAAGAATTGGCCCAATACCGTATCATAAAGTGAATAAAGCGAAAGACAAACATTGAAGGAAACAAATTCTTTGCGGAAAATTCTTTTTTTAAATCCTGAAAAACATGGCGAAAAACCTGAAAAACATGCGACACATCACTGGCCTCGACTCTGACGAACTTATCCCACTTGTACAAGGGAATGTAGAAGGAGGAAGTAAAGAAAAGAAGTAACCTGAGAGGGATGGATGACTTTTCCGCTCTAAAAATTGCAAGTTTCAAACAAGTTTGATGTGTGTAACAGCCAGATAAGCGAACAGTTACCCCTTGGAAGCCGCCCCGTCGCCGTTATTTCCTTGTACAAACCTTGGACAAAGCCGCAAATGCGTAGCTCCTTCAACCTCCGTGTCTACATCGCTTCCGCGCTGTCCGAGCGACGGAATTCATGCGGCGCTCGCGACATTGCGTTTCCGAGCCCCCGCCCCGCCCACACTCGTCGCGCGCGGCTGCGTCTCACGGCCTCATGCGAGCTTCGCCTCAGCCGAGGCGCCCCCGGCGGGAAAGCCTGCTTGCTCCGCGCGGTCATCTCCGAATCGAATGGGCTAATCCACACAGCGCGGTCCTCGGGCGAAGGCCGCCGTAGCCGCAGTCGCCCCGGGCGGCGGAGGAGGGGGCAATGCGGTGCGAGGAAAGGCAGGGCGGGGCGTTGAGATGAGGAACGCGAGGCGGGGCGGAGGACTGCGACGCGGAGTAGGCGAGAGCTGTAGCGGCGGCGGGGACTGTGGCGGAGAGAGTAGCGGAGGCGGGGGCGGGAGCAGAAGCTGCAGCGGGTCGGGCGCGGATTCGGCGGCGGGGGCGAAGGCGGAGACGGGAAGGGGGTACTGCGGGGGTGAGGGAAGAAGTGGAGGTGGAGACGGAAGCGGGGCGGAGGCGGTTTCGGAAGGGGGTGTGGGAGCGGCGGCCGGGCCGGTGACGCAGACGGGGGCGTTGGTGAGGTGGAGGCGGGACGGTGGTAGGCGCGGTGGCGAAGATGGAAGCGAAGGTGGAGGTTGTGGCAGAGACGGAGGCCGAGGCAGTGGCGGAGGTAGTGGTGGTGGCGGTGGTGGATGTGGCGGTGGTGGTAGCGGTGGCGGAGGCGGAGGCGGAGGCAAAGGCGGAGGCGGAGGGCGCGAGCGGTTGGAGTGGCGTTGGCGTTGGCGGAGGCGGTGGCGGAGACGGTGACGGTGGCGAACGCTGTAGCAGAGGCCGATCGGAGGCAGTGGCAGTGGCCGAGACGAAGGCGGAGGCGGAGACGGAGGTGGAGGCGCAGACGGGGATGGAGGCTGAGGCGGTGGCCGGGGCGAGTAGGGGTGACGGGGGCGGCCGCGCGCC